ATTTTGTTCACGAATTTCCATCGAGATGTAGGTATAGCCAAGTGCGTGGCAAGGTGCATAGCTTTAATATGTTTTGTATTTATTTATTTATTTATTTATTTATTCATCAACGGGAAATTCCCAATTTTACAAAAAATAAGTCTAAGAATAAAATGTTGAAAAAAAATCAAATACACAAGATATAAAGGACAAACAGATTATAAAATACAAACTACATTAACCCGTAAGTACTACTACCAAAATGTAGTAACATAAGTACTACTATCGGGTCTCGGGGACCCATATAAAAAAAAAAAAAATTGTATGCAGAAAAAAAATTAAACATTATATTCATTAGACAAAGTTGAACCTGAACTTGTTTTTCATAGTTTCTTACATAGAATTCACGGCTAAATGCAGTTTGGACATACCAATGAAGCTCATTTCAGACAAATAGGAATTTTGCACTTTGAACAGCAATTGTTGGTTGTTCTGTCTTTTGCACTAGGACAAATTCCACACTGGCGACGTTTTGACTTGGCAAGCTGTTGAGAAGCTATTGCAGGATCTCCTAATTCCTCTAGAAGTAAATGTTCCCACATATTCCTGATTTTTCTAGGTACCTACGTGATTTATGTTCATGTGCATTCTCAAGTATGGTTCGGACAATTGTTGAGAAAGTGTTTTTATGAATGAGTATCTTGATATGTTTTTTGGTTCTAAGGGTATCGCCAGGAGCATAACTGATCCCTCAGTACCCCCCTCCCCAAATTCTCCAAAATATTTGAAAACAAATAAACGCTCGGGTCCCATGGACCCTGTTAGTAGTACTTACGGGTTAACACCAATCATAAAAACAACAATGGAACATCAAATCACTAAAATATGTAGGTTAGGTGCCTAATCTTAATCTATTGATTATTAAGCGCCGCCCTAAGGGAGTACAAGGAGGTGTTAAACAAGTCAATTCTCAATTCATTTGCATGAGACATCATTCTATTTATGGATGAGAATTGACCATAATTGGTGCGATGGTTTTCAATACTAAATGTATTCACAACTCTAAGTGATCTAGGAGGAGCATGAATTTGGACAAGTTGCAGGAGGTCACTACAATCTATATTATTAAGTATTTTATAAATAAATACTTTATCAAAATTAATTCTCCTTTCATTCAAGGACTTCATATTCAGCATGTTCAGTAGATGATCATAAGTACATGTTTCAACATCAAGTCCCAATCTAAATCTAATGTGACACAAAAATTTGCGCTGCACTCTTTCCAGTCTATCTCTGTGACACTGATAGTATGGTGACCATACACAAGTATTATTCTCCAGTTGAGATCTAACTAAACACACATACAAAGTTTTGAGAACAAATACATTTTTGAAATCTTTGGTATGTCTTTTTACAAAGCCTAACATTTTCGGAGCTTTATTACAAATATAGTCAATATGATCCACAAAAGTTAGTTTGTGGTCAAACACAACTCCCAGATCCTTAATTGTAGTTACACCATCAAGCAGAATATTTTGTACATAAACGAATTAAGTTTTGGACTTGATTTTCTACTAAACTGTATACATTTACATTTACCTATGTTGAGGTGTATATTATTTTTCTCGCACCATTTCTCAAAACGTTGAAGGGCTTCCTGCAGGAGTACTGATGCATCTGGTGAGTCAATCACCTTAAATAACTTCAAATCATCTGCGTACAATAAAACATTACTATGATGGAAACAGTCGATAATATCATTTATGAAAATATTAAAAAGTAATGGGGCAAGATGACCCCCTTGTGGAACTCCTGATGTTACATTATAATCATCAGATAAATTTGTTCCAATTTTTACCCTTTGCTTACGACCTATCAAATATGATTCAAGCCATTTCAACAATATACCATTCACACCATAACCAGAAAGCTTCTGCAACAAAATACCAAAATCAACTCTGTCAAAAGCCTTTTCAAAATCTGTATAAATGGAGTCAACTGCAAATCCATTCTCAAGCGCTTTAGAAATTACTTGTTCGTATAATAGTAAATTTGTTGTGATTGATCTGCCCTTTGAAAAGCCATGCTGTTTGACAGAGATAATATTTTGGAAACACACAGAAAGAAATTCATTAACAATACCAGGGTTGGCAGGATATATATCAGCGATAAATATCCTGATATATATCTTGATAAATATCATGATATTTATGCTATAAATATCATGATATATATCAATATTAATTGTTTGGCCTTTTCTTATTTTATAGTTTTATTATTTTATGTTGAGAAGTTTAACGGCCGTAGTAGTATATTTATGAGAAGGAAATCACAGGGATCTCGGCCAAAACAGTCTATATTACGTCATTTATCAATTATTATTTTATTTATTTTTATTTGTGTATAAGAAATATCAGGCTTTTTAGGGCGGGTTTTATGAAAGTATTTTGACAGATAACTAAATGTTAATTTCTGGAATTACTATGAGAAGTACCGTCATTCCAGAAGTTAACTTCTAGTTATTCTGTCAAAATAGTTTTATAATATCCGCCCTAAGTTGTAGTTTTCTTTTTGTTGTTGAGTTCAGAGTTGTCATTTTTTTGTTGTTGTTGAACCCCGTCTTAAGGCAAACACAAGTAGTATAAATGACATAAATATTTTCATATTCTTAAACTCGAATTTTTATTTACCTACTACACTTTACATTCCTCTACATATGTATAGGAGATAGGAGCACTAAAACTTCTTATTGCCATACCAACTTTACATGTTTGTAACATTTTATCAAATTTACCATAAAGTTATTTTGAATTTTAATAATATAGATAACAGAAAACAGATGAACTAATTTAATTTAGGTAGGTAATTAAAAATATAAATAAATATCCAAATTTGGATATATATCCGATATACAGTGTCATTACTTAAGTGTGCAACATATGGGATTTTTTTTTAGTAATAGCACAATCAAAATACAAAAAGGCTAAAAGTTGGTGCATGTCTGATAATCATATTAGGTGCACTTAGAATGTTTGCAAGTCAAACAGCATACAGGGTGGCTCAAAAAATATCAAAATTCTACTAATATTTACTTAAATAAAATAAAACTTTTGCACTTTAAGGAGAGTTTTTTTAATATGGCTATTACCATTAGTAATGTTTTAACTTGTAAAAAAAAAAATTGCGACATTTTAAAGTTGTGTTGAATATCATTGCAACAAACATGAATTTTGTGATTCCATAAAAAATTAAAAATCTACGTTAATTTTACAAATATGCTTGAATTTGAACAAAGTTATGTAAAATTGATTTGATTTTAATTAATTTTTAAAAGTCTCAAGAGCGGAAATAAAAAATAAAAAAAAATATAGAAATTACTTATAGATTTTTTTCGAAAGAAAATAAAAAAAATCTTAGGACGCTATGTTTTGGTATTTAGGCATAACTTTTAATTCCAAACAACTTTTCTCTATAACATTTTGCTGAATTTTCTAAAATAAGGGTACTTTACAGTACCAGCTTTGATATTGTTTGAGCTACCCTGTATGCTGTTTGACTTGCAGCCATTCTAAGTGCACCTAATATGATTATCAGACATGTACCAACTTTTGGCCTTGTTTGTATTTTGATTGTGCTATTACTAAAAAAAAATCCCATATGTTGCACACTTAAGTAATGACACTGTATATGTATTATGTATAGACATAAACTTATTCTATGAGCGCCGCTTGGCAATGTGAACATCAAGGGGCGCGGCGAGTTGAGCTGCTCCAACATGTTTTTACCCCTAGTGTAAAAACATAATAACACTTAAGTAAATAAATGGAAAGAAATATACCGGAGTAGTGCACCTAACCTCTCACCTTGCCGCGATTCATAGAACAAAGTAATTTGTTTTTCGGCAGGCAGATGCCTGAAAAAAGCTCTGTGATTGGTACGTAGAAGTTCACACATAACGAGGTGCGGATTTCCCGGCCAACCAGCAGTTGCGAAAAAATATGCGTTGGAATCGGAAGACGGAAACTGTGCAATTATGGTCTGTCTGAATCTGTGAACATTTCAAGGACCACTCTGACGAAATAATAAAAAACTGACATCGATCTACTGCATGGCGATGTGAACTATGTATTCCAATCAATGACATCAAAACACAGATAGACGGATCATCCCATTCATAAACTGATATTTGCTGTGTTGACAAGACCACCCATGGGCCAGGGGAGGTGAGTTGCTCGCGGGGTCGCGGTGGGGAGACATCATTGCTCAAAATGGTATAAAAAACCCCGCCCACACGTGAATATATCTCAAAATTTAATTGGATGAATAAATAAAATAACAAATTGACAAATAAACTGAAAATATTCGATACGAGCCCTTTATTCTGGGAGTACCAATATCGTATTGGTCGTTTCTTATTTAACGCTAATGAATAATCCCTGTTTGCGATAAAGATAGCTAGCTACTCCAACAAACACCTGCTTGCCATTCAACAAGCCGCTTCTGGGCGGTGTTTTGCTACAATCTGCTGTTGCCAAATTGAGTTCAGAAATAAAATTGAAAACGTTAATTAGAAAAGGAGAAAAATATATTATTTAGGGATTCAAGAAAAAATTTGGCATTCTCAGTGGTGGGGATAGCACAAAGACCCAAAAGAGACAGAGAGATGTTGTCATACAAAAATTTTGTTTATTGTTCCGTCTATCTGTGTTTTGATGTCATAATCCAGTATATTTCACAACGGCGATATGAAGTCAAGCTGCGCAGTGAGATGAATTATTTCACTATGTTTTTACACTAGGCTAAAATTAGTCTTCAAGGCTTTTTTTTGTATCCATGCGCGTATAGACATTCTTCATTTAACTAAGCTTTGGGCTAGAACACTTACTATATTATAAGTTTTCCAAATAAAATTGATTTTTAAAAACAGTATTTTTAGTTTAAAATAAATAACTTATCTTTATCTTTCCGTTGTTTTCTTCATGAACCAAAAATACTTTTCAAACAATGAAAAACTTTTTTAGTCGAGTTAGGCTATATTACCACGGAAAACAAGCTTCCATGTGCTGAATTCGTCGAAATATCCAGTGTTGGACCTCCTCATAAGAGAGAATTCACTTTCGATTGTAAGATGGCTTCCCTCACAACCACAGCTACGGCCAGTACCAAAAAAATGGCAAAGCAGATCGCTGCGAAGGAAATGATTGAAAAGTAAGTCACGTTTCTTTACTTAGGTTTAGGCGCAGTACGTAATTTACTTTTAACACATTTACAAACTAGGACACAAACACTAATTGAAATTATAATTATTAAAGTAACTGATATGGTTAAAACCTTACATTTTTCTTCAATTATTGTTAAGATCGCCTATATTCAAATTAAAAAAAATATTATAGGTTGAAAGAGCTTCTGCCTCAATTGGTTGAGCAACAACAATCTGGAGATGTGGAGATGAAAAACCAAATCACCGAGGCCATAACGAAATATCAGGAATTTGTGGAATCTCCAATCCCCGATCGAAGTATAAACCTTGAAGAAATGGACCATTCATTGGCCAAGTTGATGTATTTGAAACGTTTGACATATAAAGACTTCGAAGAGGTAAGTAATCAATTCATTTGTTATTTCTTTGTCCCCAAAATTATATATTTTAGGACTTGAAAATACCCACTGAAGAATCTTTAATTAAAATTCTAGATAGACTAGAAGTTAAACATTCCTTCAAGGTAATTCAGGAAGAGCCTATAATTATTATTAGTCTATCATTGAAAATTGACACGCCGTTCACTATTTGGGACACAGGTGATAATCTTGAAGAGGCTAAGCAGAAGGCCTTAGTGCAAAGCTTTGAAATAATGGATGGAATGATGAAAATCAAAATTTGAAATTTTGACATGACTATTTCATGAGTTACCATTTAATTTAATTTTATAGATATACATATTTTGAAAGGAAACAAAAAAAGTTTCTAATTATTTATTTATTTTTTTATGTAGTTCTTGAGTTAAGGTGTAATATCGTGATTATTTTGATTATTTTACCGTAACATGTTTCAGCACATGGTGCCTTCTTCAGTTTCAGTTATTCCGCCTGAACATGTTATGGCATAATTGTATATATATTTAATAAAATTGTGTTAATTTAGTTTCTGTTTCCTTTCAAATTCCAAAATTTATAATGGATTTTCCTCAAGTATCAGCTGAATCAATCGCTCTTACAAATTATTATCAAATGATGTATTATACTTAATGTGTGTAATGTAATGTAATTTTTTTTTTCATTGTTTTTTTCAGGTCTGTCCTCACAAAAGTCTCTGACAGTTTGTAAACTAACAGTTGCATCGCTCAGCTAAGTTACCGATTTATCTTGGAACGACGGCATTGAAAACATGCTTTCTGCCATTTTGCAAACGATCAGACTCTTCTGAGAACAGCCCTTTGATGTGACCCTAGTACAATAATTTCTACTATGGAGCAATGATATCATAATCCTTTATTTAGCACATGGCTACTACATAAAAATTCTTACACCCATAAAATCTCCTTACAATCTCCTATATACAGTAGAGCAACGTGTTAACCTTGTCAATACTTATTTCGAAAATCAATCTTCTGTGGTTATGAGATTTTGCGCAATTCATGAATATTTCAGTGCATATTCGCCATATAGTGAGCAATTGGGTTAGCTGAATCTTGTAAGTGTAGAGAGCCAAGCCAAGTATATTTTCAAAATTCTCCAAGTGTTGGTCTCGATAACACCCAAACACCCAATTGCTGCAAACACTTTGACTAGTAGCCACGGTTGAAATTGTACTGGTGTTCACATCAAAATAAACAGAAAAAAAAAACTTCGAACTATTTATATGACAAAATATGTATAAAAAAAAAATCATCGGAAACACCCATTATAAGTTTTTATGCTTAGTACAATGACTATAATTATTTTTTGAAACACGAGTGGTGAACAGATCTGACAAAAATATCTCCTGCATGTCCATTTCATCTTTACTGAAGTGATGTGTAGGTTAAGGTAGAGATTTTTTTTTTCTTATTTATTTCTGACCCTTAAACAGGTAACTGATGTCAGGGCCTTAAATAGGATAGTACTATTCTTTAAAACACAGAATTGAGAATATTTTGAGACAATCAGGAACAAATTTTGTTCTCCGATGCTTGTTTGAGTATGATCATGTATTATATCCGCACTCAAGATCATGAAGGACCTGGCAGGAATTGTAAATTTTTTGGATCTGTACACGCCTTGTTCGAACGCTTCATTTGTGATATTTTTTTCCGTTAGTTTAATAAAGAAGCTGTTCAAGTTACAGGAAATGTGTAATGATTTATAAAACCGAAAATTCAATGTATTTTATAAATGAGATATTACCTTTCGGAAATATTCTCTCAGGGGCGTTATATGCAATGAAAAAAAATTGTCCCGGAATATTCAAGTTTCCCTCCTATACAGGTATACTATATACTATATACTATTATTATACTCACTCACCTGAACCTATGACCTGAGCAGGGCCGTATCTAGACCAAAATTTTGGGGGGGTTAGACAAAGTGGCAAAAAGAAATTGTTACACTAGTAATAAAAATTAAAAAAATAAATAAGTATTTAATAAGTGTTGTTTGTTTTTGAGTTAAATTTTTTGAATTTTATTATTTTTTGGGGGGTTTGAACCCCCAACCCCCCCCCCCCCCCCTAGATACGGCCCTGGACCTGAGCACACCTCGTTTTTACCCTTCCTTGCGATAAACTAAACTAGATATTATCAGAACAGAACAGTGCATGTCATTTTTTTCAAAATTTCTGTTTCCTTGACCTAGATAACAATTAGATATGCTGCATTTAGATTAGACGTCAATCAATTGTGCATCCTTGTCATTCAAGCAAAGAGATCTTAGGAAAAAAACACATTTTTATTACAAAACTTGCTCACACTGTTGAATGACTCTCAATACCTATACAAACATATACAGCGTGTTTTATGAACGTCAAAACAGAGGCGTTTTGGGGTATTTTAAGGTCGATTTAAAAAAAACGCTCGGACACGTCAATTTTGTATTCAAGGGGGAGAGTTTTTGACCCCATCGGTATTTCGCTAGGATGCATTCCCTGGGTGGGGCAACTTTCAGCCCTCTTTTTTTAGATAGGGAAGATGGGTCGAGTGGCACCTCGTTTTAAAGGTATTTTGATTCTCGTCACAACTGCGTATTTTTTTTTTGAAAATCGAATAATTAGTTTTCGAGATATTCACTGTCAAAGTTGCCATGGGCTAAATGAGAAACAATTTTCAGGCTCTGTTAACTGTTGATTAACACTTTCCTGACTTTTCTCTCGGACACGTCAATTTTAAGAAGCGCACAAAAAATGAAAATTGACGTGTCCGAGAGGAAAGTCAGGAAAGTGTTAATTTAAGGATAACAGGGCCAGAAGATTGTTTTTTATTTAGCCTCTGGCAACTTAGACAGTGACTATCTTGAGAACTAATCATTCGATTATCAAAGAAATACGCAGTTGTGACGAGAATCAAAATGCCTTTAAAACAAGGTATCACTCGACCCATCTTCCCCATCTAAAAAAGATGGGTGAAAGTCACCCCACCCAGGGGATGCACTCTAGCGAAATACCGATGGGGTCAAAAGTCCGGGCGTTTTTTTTTTTAAATCGACCTTAAAATACCCCAGAACGCCACTATTTCGATGTTCGTGAAACACCCTGTATTTTTTTTTCTACAAGATGGCACTAAAAAGTTGTAACTCTTAAAACTTTACTCCTCTTCACATCCTAGTCAATTTTACCTGATTTTTCCAAATTATGGATGTTATATGAAGTCCTTGAAATTCCACATGCTTCATCAGGTATAATTTTTGTTTAAAAACGTCGGCAGGTCGTATTATATCAGTCCAACTGCTGGCGTACAATTTTGCAGAGTTCTATCTAAGATAAACTTTTGTCAAATATTTCATAGATATTTTCTGTGAACCAAATTTGAAATACGCAACTACTCATAGATATCAATTTTCACATGACTCGAAAATTTTAAAATTAGTTTGAAAAAGGAATTAATATTACTAAATATAAAATCGTCCACTCTTTTACTAATTGATTGTCAGCCGTGTTCCATTCATGATAATTATAATAAATTAATGTATACCTTATAACCATGGTTTTACAACTCATATGTTTCTATTGAAACAACTCTTTCCGCGAAAGTTAAATATGAAAAGGAAATGAATAATACTTGTTGAAGCAAATAAATATACGAATAAATACTTGATAAGTTGATATATTTCAATCACCTATTTACATACAAAAAAGAAACTAATAATACTTTAACGTGAAAACACTGTATAAACCTATAAAATATAAATATATCTCTTTAGCAGGAGAGTTCTTTGTCAATTGCAACAAGGCTGACAGATTCTTTCGGAGGATCTGTAAAACTCTCATCATAATTGACATCAGTTCCGCTAAATATTTGGCCGTATTTGTAAAGAAATTCGCCATGTTCCTCATGGTCACTGCTAACTTTTTCTTCGTCTTTTTGGATCACTTTATCCTAGAAAAATTATCCAGTTATTAGATTTTTTTTTTCTTTGAACTTTATGAACAAAATTTTACCTTCTTGGAATAATTCGAATTTCTAAAATGTACCATTTGGTGTTTCTTCATGGCTGACGTTGTAATAAAACCTTTTTCACATTCTGGGCAATGATGAGGTCTTTCTCCAGTATGTAACATTTCATGACCTTTCAAAGTGCAGGAATTTGTGAAAGCTTTGCTGCAGTATTTACAAACCCACTTTTTGATTCCTTAAAAAAAAAAATTCAGACAAAAATATTGCAATAAAAAATACTCACCTAAATGTATATTTAAATGTGTCTTTCTATGTATCCAGGTTTTGAAGCCCTTACTACATATGTGACATTTATAAGGTCTTTCATTTGTGTGGACTCTAACATGATTGTCTAATCTCTGCTTGTCTTTAAATACCTTTGGGCAGTAGCTGCATACAAATTCACCTGTGAACAAACATATTCCTACTTAGAATATTAATTTTTTCAAAACATCAAAAACTCTGTTAAAATTGCTTGAGGTTAGGAAAGTTACAGCTCAAACTTTCCTTTTTTAAAAGATAAAAACACGAAATTTGCTACATACTTATGTATTGTATGCCCAAACAAGGAAGCAAGAAAGCATTTGGATGACAAGACGATCAATACTGATCGCCGATTTGTATTGTACAATTTAAAATCTGAGACACGTGGATAATTAAATGGATTTTGTTCGAAAATCTACCTGTCAATAGACGTCAATACTAATGAGCTTTTATTACTCTACATATTTCAGCCATCCTGGGTTTATCTACTCATCTACACATACCTATTAACATGAAAAAATCCAATCAACTTGAGGATTGTGTAAAAAAATTAGTAAGAAATAATGATTATAGCTGTCTTGTCTTAAGAGTGAAAATTGCCGGGATTAAAAAAAAAATATAAGTGGCCTCGGAAGCTCTTATCAATAGGATCATAATCAAAGGAATTACAGTATATTTACCTATACATTTCTTTAATTAGTTTTTTTGGATTTGAAAACTGACAAGTTTTCCATCAAGAAACCTATTAATTTCATGTTCCCATGAACTATTATCAGAACAAATACTTGAGCAAACAAGTTGAAAGTTTCATCGACAATGGAGGAACAACTGTTATAGAGCTAGATAGTTTATTACATCTAGCAATAATTCCAATAACTGTCTGGCTGAAAAGTTATACTTTCATATCAGGGTTTAAACCTCACAAAATTTTCCTTGACAGTTTATGTCTGAATATTTAAAAATATGTACAAATGTCAAAAATATTAACACAGTTGACACGACCAAAGCCTTGGAAACCCAACATGCTCAATAACAAAATTTGAAAAATATATATTACCCTTCTCATTTCTTAGTTTTGCTGATTTGCCCCAGGTAGCGAACATATTCTTGTTCCATCCAGGAGCATCATGATTTTTCAAATGAATCTTAAAGTTTTCTTCTCTAACAAATTGGGATGCACATTTGTCGCATTTAAATAATTCATGACCAGATTCTTCAACATGTTTTTCAAACAGGTCTTCTGATGAGAAGGAATCATAACATCTAGAATAGTTAGTAATTTGAAGAAATAAAAAAGGAAGTGTATTGTAATCAAACCTACTTTTTACATACAAAATTGTGGCCTTTATGTTTGGCCACGTGCAGTGCAATGGCGTATTTGTGAAAAATCTTGAGTTCTCTACCACAAGCTTCACAGAAAAAGTTCTTTTTGGGAACTTTGTTTTGGACCTCAATTCCTTCGTGGAACTTTTGAATATGAAGTTTCAGATTTCTTTTTGTGGTATAACCTATATAAAAAAAATAGTTTGTGAAAAACCAACTGTAGGTATGGGTAGAGGATATAATATCGGAAGGGCTTTTTGATTTTTGCAAAATAAAAAATGAGCATTTCAGCATTAAACAATTCAACAAATAGATACAAATTCAAGAGGACTTTATTCTAAGTCACTTCCAACAAAATTAAAATTAACAAAAAAAATACTGCTGTTGGCCCAGAATAGATATTGTTTAAGAAATTTCTTAATTATATGGAATATAGTCAAGGAATAACTTACTTTGACCACAAGTATCACATAAAAATCTCTGATCATTATGAGCCACCATAATATGCCTTCTTATATTATTTGAGTTTGCAAATTCTTTTGGACATTTAGGGCATTTGTACTTTTGATTTTCTAATTGAGGATTCAGGTGTTTTTTTCTTCTGTGCTCATATAGAGATTTTCTATTTTTGAACCTTTAAACATGTAAGTATGTTACCTTTTATAATACATAATAACAATAATAAATGACGTACTCTTCTTTACAAACAGTACACTTAGTATTATGTTCCTCTGATTTGTAATGTGCATGAAGTTCCTCTGAATTCTTGAAACTGACCAAACATAATCTGCAACATTTTAATTTGCCATGTTTTACCATCATGTGATAGAGAACGTTCAACGAATTGGTGAATTTCTCATAGCAAAGAATACATGATTTTTCTTCAGCATGATCAGTCTAAAAAAAATAATTTTCAAACTCAAAATCGTAGCTACCAGTTTGAACTGTTTTACCTTCAAATGAGATTCGATATGTTTATAGTTTGGAAAGTCAACATCTTCACACTTATTACATATGTATGTTTTTCTTTGACCTTTAGAATGTAAAATAATTGACTGATTTCCAGATGTTTGTTCAGGTGCTTTTACATCATTCTCATCTTCCTCAAAGTCATCTCTAAAAAAACTAGATTTTCAAACAATTTTTTTCGACCAAAATCTATTGAAATTACGCAATCATAATTTTTTTTTTATATTTGACTGTTAGTGTTACCTACCATGAAAAATATTATTTTCAAATTGAGTATGAGAGCCAGCAAATACATATTTTCCTCTGATAATATGAACTTAATTTTCTCATTGTGATTACCGAAAAAACTGTCGGCTAGCTTAACTAAGGTTTTCTGTTCACGTTGCAGGTAAGTTAGAAAATTTCGAAGTTTTTAAACTGGGGAGCGTTTTATTCGATTGTATGGCGCTAGCATTACTTAGTGAATGGTGAAACCCACTCACGAAGAATAAACCTTCTGAATTACAAGGACACTGGTAACAGAACAAGAGATGTTGAGGCAGTCATTGAAAAGCTGTAGGTAGTAGTTTTCAAATAAAGGTTCTCAGTGCAAAGAATTCCGGAAACTAGAGTTTAGATGATACAAAAATTAGTTTTTATGCATTCAAGTCCTTGCCTAAAATGGGTCTGATTTGAAATTATTATGGATGGAACTCAACAACTTTCATGGTAATAACAATAGAAATGTGACATAAATGGAATGAACTGCACAGAAACAATATCGAAACCAGAATTTAATACCCTCTAGCCACTTAACTAGCCATATATCTGAAAATGACTCAATGTGCGATTATGATCCTTTAATTTTTTTCTGATTTGAAAGGGGGCTAGTTTTAATAAATAAACAACAACGATGCTGCATAAAAACTTAACTGGAGAAATAATTACCTTTCCTCGTAAAGTTCAAAATCTTGATCAGCATCATCATTAAAATCATCATCTTCTTCATCATTCGATTTGTTTTCAAAATATTCAACTTGACCATCAACTGGATTATCCGGGTTTTCTGTTTTCACACAATTTCGACAGTGTTCTGCAAGTTTTTCCTTATCTTCGTTGTGATATGAACATTTTAGACATCGAGATTCATTCCAGTTTGTTAGATGGACTAACTGTAAATGGTTTGAAATGTGCCTGGAAATTGTATAGATTATACAATTGTAGGGTTTCACATTATTTGCTGTTGTATTACCTAATTTTCTTGCAACATATGGGACAAATATCTGTCGAAGTTAATATATCATTATCATTCTCTTGCTTATCTATAATTTTGTTGTTATTTTGCAAATTTTCAAGAATACTTTTTCTTTTCCTGCCTCTTTTCTTTGTTAAATAAAACTTCAAAAACATGTTTAAAGTTAACATAGATTATTTTTTTGTACAGTGTGTATACCTACTTACTTTATTCAATTCCATTTCGTTGTCGTTTATAACTGTTGAAATATTTGGTGCATTTAATTTAAATTTGTGTGATAAAGGTAAATCATCACTGGAAGAGCTGTCAGCATTATTGATACTAAAAAGTTGTTCATGAAAATAAAAAAATCAAATAGAAACTTTTGAAAATCATTTCATCACAAAAATTACCCAAATATATCATTTTCAAATATTTCATGGCTTTGATTCTCATCTTTTTTCTCAATTTCTTCAATACCCGTTAAAATTTTCTCTGAATGATTTCTACCAAGAGCCTCTGTCAGACTAATTGTGTTTTTCATTTTGTGTAAGTCTGTATCAATCTTTATTTTTTCATTGAGTGTTTTAATTTTATGTATTGCCTTGTTAAGAATTGTAGCTGATTGTTGCAGCATTTTGATGAAATTGTTACTTTTTGTCAGTTCTCCAATACAATTTGAACAAATCATAGTTGGTAAATTATCAAATTCCATCTACAATGATTAAGTACTACGTATAGATCAATTTAATTTTAAAATGCCTACCTTTATTTTGGAAATATTCTCATACATAGTTATAATGTTCATACCACCAATAAATATTTGTTGCATATTTTTTACGGTGGTTATACGAAGGCAGCCTCTACATATATCATTTAGTTGAACAGACACATCTGAAACATAGAAATATTTTTGAAAATCACCCCTAAAATTCAATTCGAGAAGATTAAACCACTTTTTTATCAACTTCCTGTACAAAGTGGATAGTTGTCTAATAAAATACAATATATCCCACCTATGTCTAACTCTTTTTCCTCTTCTATAGTATTTGGCAGATCTTCTTTAACATCTGTAAAATAGATTAATTTAAGTCATTAATAGGTACCTTCTACAAAAATACCAAAAAAATTGTTTCTAGTAGCTATTTAATTTAAACTACACATAGGTAGGTAACCTACCATTTTTATTGATATTTTCTGAAATAAGTGGAATACCATAATTTGTGCTATCAGAAGTATTGGCTTCATTATTGCTTTGAAATTCCATTTTAGGATTTCATCGAACTAAGTTCAGGAATTTGAAAATCTAAAAATATATTAATTTACATTAGTGTTAATGGCTTATATTGATGAACTTGATTAAAAAAATATAAATAGTCAAATATAGGGGCCATATTTTCTTTCAGTATGACACAGTTCTATTTAAATTTCTAACCACTTTTCTTTTTTTGAGTATTAATATTATTAATAAGGAGTCGTTTATTATTCATAGAGGTGTGGAGTTTCCAGTGTAGGTACCTGACTAACTGTTCATTATTTTTAAAATCTACAAAAACTACAGCTGTAAGTAGTAGAAAAACTAGATTGAAACCATGGATCACAGGTGGCTTGATAATATCAATTAGAAATAGATATAAATTCAAAAGGAGTGCATTAAAAACAGAAATAACAGTTCTGCTCAATAGTTATAAACTTCACAGAAAAACACTGTCCAAGCTTTAAAGTGTCAAGTATTTTATTTTGAAAAATGCCAATGATGATACTTTATTCTTAAATACAATGTGATGACCAAAAGGACCATGGGATAGAATGGGACACAGAAAAAGAAATTGAAAAGGAAGTAGATATGTAATTTAAAAAAAATAGAGTAAACAGGGGGGGAAGATTGAATTTGTTGCAATATTGTAAAAAATATGTTGAACCACTGATTATGCCACTTCATCCTTAAGTCAATGGTACTTTCAGTACTGGGTTTTTTCCTGAAATCTTTACACACTCGACGCTACATGATTGAATTTATTTCCTTGAATTCAGTTAAATGCTAAATTAAATTAGGATAAGAATGTGAATGGTTTCCATTCAGTAGACCAATATCTATGTGTAATATTTCCATATTTCTGGGAATTAGTATCTGATTAAAATCTAATGCTACGCAGAGAGGTGGTAGATTTGTATTTGCTTTTTAGAGTGGGTAGTTGGTAGGTAGAAGAGGAATCAACAGAATAGTTTGATTAGTTTGCACTCCTCCAGTTTAGGCAGAATTTAAAGATATAATTTAGTGGTGAAAAGTCAAGGTCCTGATGCTGTGTTTTTGGGCTTTCCTAAACTATTTTACTTACAAATATTGTAATTTAACTGGATGTCTTCTGTTCTAATCTAAAATATATGTTTTTAAGCCCGTATGGTTATAAGAAAAAGGTATAACAAAATAAATAAACGCAAACACAAGAAATATAAAAATGTTACTAATGAAAATACTTTTATTTTTATTTTCTTTTTCACTAACTATTGAACAGTGTTGCCGCAAGCTCTTTCTTTATTGGGGCAGATTACGGCAAGATAGCGGGGTAGAATAGAATCAGTGCGGGGTAGCAACAAAAATTTCACCTACGAGCGTGTAAAAACTAGCATTTTACCGCACACTATGCGGTAGAGTTACTGTGTTAAAATAACCTGCAAAGTGTGCGGTATTTACTTCACCGCATAGTGTGCGGTAAAGCAGACTACTTCGATAGCTAAAATTTTATAACACATGCGTTTTTGACGCTGTTAGGTAAATAACTATAATCTTTTTACATATTTTTCTGCATCAATTACCACACAAATTCAAAGGAGATACTCAAAGGAATCTCTAACTGAAGTTATATCTTAGGCGTAGACAAAAAACTCGTTGCATAGGTACAGTTCAGACAAAATAAATTGTTTCTCATAATTTGGATTTTGTAAGTATTTTTCATTAGCGATAAGCAGAAACATTCTTTTTGTGTTATAGCATACCTAGATTGTATTAAGAGCGGGGTAGATTTAGTTGAGGGGAGCGGAAGGGCGAGATTGTTTTCAAAAGGGGTAGATCTACCCCGAACGGGGTAGCTTTGGCAACACTGCTATTGAATATTCAATTTGATGGATGAGATGAAGGAGATAGAGGAGACCTTATCGATACGATATATCGATACGCGATCGACCATGGTGCATATCGAACGTTTTTTAATTAATTTCAATTTCCATGGCATGTACTTTTGTCTTCATGTGTCGTTACGTTACCAGTCTATTTTCAAATACATATTAAAAAAAAATTAATTACTATGAAAAGAACGAACAGAGCACCAACAGCAGTTTTTCACTGGACCTGGACACAGGGATGTGCGTCTACACGTAGACTTTCATTGTCTACTTTACGTGTAGACAATGTAGACAATGTAGACAACGTGTCAACAATGTAAAATAATATAAATGACGTTTAATTCTAACCTCACACTTACCTTTTTTTAAATTATTTTTATTTTATTATTGGTTTTCCTGATATTTTATAATCAGTGAATGCTGATATCGAAGTGATAGTGATAGTATAGTAACTTTTGATATTTTTTTTCGAATTTTTTAAAATAAGTTATTGTTTACGCCGCATGTAGACAATGTGTAGACAAATGCTCACGTAAAAAATTTGAATTGTCTACGCGTAGACAATCAATTGTTTACGTTGACATTGTCTACAGGCACATCACTGCCTGGACATGTAAAAAAGGGCTTTTACACTTTAAATCAGAAATATCGCATCGAAAGTATCCATATTGATATCGATATTAAAAACAAGTAGCGGCTTTGAAAGAATCTTCCTCCTTTAGGACTGGGTTCACGATAACCGTCCGGACGCGCTCCAACATCGGGTTATGTTGTTCACGATAACGGATTGTTCAACCCTGAATTCAACGGTTAATTTACACCCGCGTTGAAAAGTTATGAAGAATCCCTGACAGTTTACAAACCTTCAGAAAGCATCGTCATGTTTTCAAGTCGTCGTTCAAAGATAAATCGGTATAGCTGAAGACACCAGCGCCGGCCTTAGGGGGGTGCAGAGGTGCTAACTGCACCCGGCGGCAAAATTGAAGAGGCGGTAAATTGAGAAAATTAATCAAAATAGAAATCATTAAAAAAAATCGATCGGTATTCAGGATAATATTTATGAAAAATTTTATAATCATTTACCAGCCCGGTTTTCTAATTAGCAACATCGCTAACATTGCAACGGCAACCCTGCTCTCTTCGCTTCCGTTTTCATCAAAATACTACTAAAATTATTTTAGTATACTAAAATATTTAATATTTTAGTAATATAATAAATATTAGGAGGTACTGTTAAAAAAATGCATTGACATCGCGGCGCCGCGATTCCAAGAAATTAAATTAGTCACAATGCAATTTCGACTATACAGAGTGTTAATGAATAGTGGCCGGTATCTGTGAACTTTGGTGGTATCAAGCTTCTAGGATGAATAGTACTCATTAAAATAAGAAAAAAGTTAATAGAAACATCGGTCCGCAAATGCTTAGTTTTCGAGATACAGGGTGTCAAAGCTTGAAAAAAATCGGTTTGATCCCACTATTCATTAACACCCTGTATAAATAGAGCGTAGGGAGCAGTTGTAATTCGATTTTTATCCTGGATGTTTGGAATAGTGATACCAAAGTGAGTTTTGCGCCTGAAAAAAGTAAGAGCGAATTCAAATCAGATTAATTAATAACACTATTCAGGCCTACGGCCGGCTTATTCACCTTCTGATAAACGTACCTATTGTTAGGTCGCAGCGGCGTAGCCAGGGTGGGGGGCGTAGGGGGCCGGGCCCCCCCTCCGAAATTTCAAATCTTAAATCTAGAAAATGAGAAAGTAACCAAATTAAGATTTGATATTTATCAAGTTTACAGGTCATAAATTGAAATTACTTAATATCTACTACTTAGTACTTATTTGATTCGATTTGAAAATTTCCAAGATGTACGCAGGAACACACATAATTAGGAAATTTTTGCAACGCTGGCAACAAAGGCTCATCTCACTGCAGTGCTCATTGGCTCATTGCGGAATATCAAAGTCGAGCACAACTTCGAAGGTCACTATTGGGCACTGAAGTCGTAAGTGGCAAATTGCATTGATTTGCTCAATTTTTGATCTTTTAGTTTTACTTTACAAATCACTTAAAACAGGTGTCTATAGTATATTGAAATCCAGGAGCAGTAAATGACGTTGAATGTAAACAAACACTAGCTGGTAATCTAGCCTTCCTATTGGTTAATTAATACGCCTACAAGGACCAATGCGCATATGTCACTGATCTCAAAAATAAATGGATAAACAATCGTACGGCTTGATTGGCGAAAACCAAGGATGATACACACTACTACTACAGGATGGCTTATCCTCATAAAGCCTGTGTGTAACAAATCTCCCCTCCCCCCCCCCCCCAGGCCAAAATACCAGTTGTGACGTAGCAGCATGTTATTTCTAACCTTGACGTAGGCTGTTTAAGCAGCTGACGACTTAGTTATGACGTCGGCGATGGTGGCACACCAATATGGCGGCGATTATCAAAAACGAGGCCGATAAGCACTCCATAAAGTGTGTATTCTCCTTGGGCTAAAACATTGTGCGAAAATTTGGGGTCAATATTCTACGAATAGTTGTGCAACGGAACAGCCCAACGGCTGCGCAGTGCCTTATCTTTCGACCAACTCTTCTAATTTTGAAATATCCTTCATTTTCATTGGCTATATTTTGCGCACGCACAGTACATGTATCTATAGTCTGGCAAGTGGTAACTTGGTAGAGACGAAAGAGGGAAGAAAAGTGGGGCGTGACCTAAAAATATTGACTGACACCTCAACTGACACCGCCTGATGACAGCCATGCCTTTGAGTTCAGTGGCACCGAAAACACTAAGGAAATAAACCAATAAAATTATTAGAAAAAAAAAACTCTAGTTTCGCCGATAACCACGCCACTGAGTGCTGTCGTTCAGACTCTAAAATAGAATCATGCCTCTGAATAATCACGCCTCTCCACATCCATCGTTTCGCAATGTTGCCGGATTTTTTTCTATTTCAAAATATTGTACCTGCCCATAAAGCAAAAAAAAATGTCAGCAACTTGTTTATTATTGTTTCCGTCAAGTTTGGCAAAGCAGCAAATTCTTTTAGAGTTCGCCGTTTGGCTAGCCAGACAATACTGCGCACGCTCACAGCTGTCCCAGTTGTTTATATTATGACCTCGTAAATAAGCAGCATTAGAAGCGTTCTTTGCTTATCCATTTATTTTTGAGATCAGTGGCATATGCGGAGGACAGAATTGGATTCAGTTGAGTTTTCTGGGAAAAAAAAATCTGCTCGTGGCATTTCATGATGTTTGTTTATTACCATAAACCGGCGCTATCAAAATAAAACGAAATAATGACATTGTCTTAGTTCGGTCCTGACTACCTGATCTGAAAACGACCAGTTGTTCACGTTACTACCGCTTGGATTTGAAAATAGTATACATGCTGTTCTGTGTTAGTGAAAGAATAGACATTTGCAAAAAGTATATGTTTCTACCAATTTTTTTTTTTTTTTCGCTGAAATAAAATCTAGGAAAATAAGTTTTTCTTAATATAAGTATCCTCTGAACTTTCCTTACTTCAGCTTGAAGCGCCTGGTCCTCTAGTTTAATCACCCTTTTCTACTTTGTTTTTATTTTTCTTGAGTTGATTTGTGATACTTATAATTGTTGCTGTTTTTTTTTTTTTTTTCTTCAAATTTCTAAAAACTATAGGAACCTTGAGGCGGTGGGATTTAAATTGCACCTGGCGGTAAATCAGGTAAGGCCGGCACTGGAAGACACATGAGGCAATTTTTCGCGAGGATAACCAAGCATCGTCGAGTATGCTGGATAATGTGATGTGTCAATTGTGTCATACTCCTCTAACTCCCCTGCCATCAAATTCTAAGATAATCGAGGATCAAGAACACCTAATTTTTTCTGTGAGAACAGACCGAAAATCACCTTTTCTACATTTTAAATCGACGAAAAAATTAATTCACTAGCACAGCCTGAATCGCAAGCATTCCATCGAGGTCTGCGGGTGACGTCATCACTATAAGCTGCTGAGAATACATACTTTAAGGAGTGCTTATCGGCCTCGTTTTTGGTAATCGTCGCGATATTGGTGTGTTACCATTTCCGACATCATAACTAAGTGGTCAGTTGTTTAAACAGCCTACGTCAAGGCGAGAAATGCTGCCTACGTCACAACTTGTAATTTGGCGGGGGGGTAAGGGGGGGATTTGTTACACACACGCCTTATGAGGATAGGCCATCTTGTAGTAGTAGTGTGTATTATCCTTGGCTGGTAGTGACGTCACTCGCAGGCCCAGAATTGATTAACCTCGCGAAAAATTGCCTAAAACAAATACAAGGTACAAGAGACAGATACAAAATGCCAAAAAATCGAAATATTGGGTGAGTTCGAAGAGGATGATACACACTACTGCTACAGGATAGCCTATCCTCATAAGGCCTGTGTGGAACAAATCTGAAGCTCCCCACCACGCCAAATCACGAGTTGTGACGTACGCAGCATGTCCTTTCTCTCGCCTTGACGTGAGCTGTTTGCACTACAGGTTATGATTCCGCGGGCTTTTGTTTTATAAATACTTGGTTTTACTACATTAATAACATTCTAAAACAATTCTTTTTTAGATCTCGTTTTCATCTTCATATTTGCCTATTATGTTAATCAAAATTAAATAATATTTTTCATCATAAATTTCAATATTAAACTACGACCGCTAGTGTAAACAGCTGACGACTTAGTTATGACGTTGGAACTGGTGACACGCCAATATGGCGGCGATTACTAAAAACGAGGCCGATAAGCAACTTACTATTGTGTATTATCCCCGAGTTCGGCTTGGCAAGCTTTGTTTTGTTTTTCTTATGCTTTTATCTATGGTTTTTATCGCTTAATCATTCGTTGTTCCTTGACTTTCAATGTATATTTAATACAGAGTGCGGCAGTCAAACCTGCAATTTTGAATAGAGCGCGGGAGCCAAGAAAGTGGGCAGGGAGAGTTGTCAAGGTTACCGTTGTGTTCCCCCCTTCAAAGCATTTTAGTACAGTGACTAAATAAACCTTTACATACAGTGGCGGCATAGAGGTCCCGTCGCCATTTTGTGCCCTACCTCTTGCTACATTGGCTCAATATGAATATACAGTGTGATTTTTTAAGTGTGCAACATATGGGAAATTTTTTTAGTAATAGCACAACCCAAATACAAACAAGGCCAAAAGTTGGTGCATGTCTGATAATCATATTAGGTGCACTTAGGGCCGTTTCCACCAACTACTTTAGGGAAGCCTTAACGATAAGTATTCCCTAAAATGACATTTTTACATGGAGAAATTTCAGTTTAGGGAATACTTAGCGTTAGGGCTCCCCTAAAATAGTTGGTGGAAACGGCCATTAGAATGGTTGCAAGTCAAACAGCATACAGGGTAGGTCAAACAATATCAAAATTATACTGTGAAGTACCCTTATTTTGGAAAATTCAGCAAAATGTTATAGAGAAAAGTTGTTTGGAATTAAAAGTTATGCCTAAATACCAAAACATAGCCTCCTAAAAAAAAATATTTTTTTTTTCGAAAAAAATCTATACTTAATTTCTATATTTTTTTTATTTTTTGTTTCCGCCCTTAATACTTTCAGAAATTAATTAAAATCTAATCAATTTTACATAACTTTGTTCAAATTCAAGCATATTTGTAAAATTAACTTAGATTTTTAATTTTTTATGGAATCACAAAATTCATGTTTGTTGCAATGATATTCAACACAACTTTAAAATGTCGCAATTTTTTTTTTAACAAGTTAAAACATTACTAATGATAATAGCCATATTAAAAAAACTCTCCTTAAAGTGCAAAAGTTTTATTTTATTTAAGTAAATATTTCTACAATTTTGATATTTTTTGAGCTACCCTGTATGCTGTTTGACTTGCAACCATTCTAAGTGCACCTAATATGATTATCAGACATGCACCAACTTTTGGCCTTGTTTGTATTTTGATTGTGCTATTAGTTAAAAAAATCCCATATGTTGCACACTTAAGTAATGACACTGTATATAGGATTTATGGCCGTTTCCACCAACTATTTTAGGGGAGCCCTAACGATAAGTATTCCCTAAAATGACATTTTTACATGGAGAAATGTCAGTTTAAGGCATACCTATCGTTAGGGCTTCCCTAAAATAGTTGGTGGAAATGGACATTAAATGGACAACCATCGTAAAAAATTGAAAACAACCTATTTGATGTACCTAATAATAGTTATCAAATACGTTGTTTTCAAGTTTTTATGATGGATGGCCATTTAAATCCTATATATTCATATTTGAAATTAGCAAGAAGCAGGGCAAAAAATGGCGGCGTTTTCTATTTGAATACATAGGATTTTAAAAAACCAATAAAAAATGAGACAGCAATTGTCGCCACTGTGGTAATAGAGTCACTGTACATTTTAGTAGCTATGGCACAGTGGTCCAAGGTCCAAGCAAGAACGGTCTTTCGCCGTCGTCATTTTATCAAAGCGGTGGTTATACAATCGTTCAATGCCACTTCCGTGTTCATTTCCAACTTAATCGTAATCGACCCGTTCCTTCTGTTAACTCGTTCCACCGATGTTTTCAAATTTTTGTGCCCATAACTTTATTGAGTTAACAGTTAACACAAGGCGATGGACGATTACGATTAATTTGGAAACGAACACGGAAGCGGCGTTTAACGGCTGTATAACTACCGCTTTGATAAAATGCTTTCACGGCGAAGGAACGTTCTTGTTTGGACCCCTAGTTCCATGGCTACCAAAATGCTTCGATAGGGGGAACAGATCACTCATCACTCTCCCCACTCTCCCCTTTCTTGGCTCCCGCGCTATTTGTAAAATTGCAGGTTTGACTGCCGCACCCTGTATATTGGCCCTGTTCGGGTTTGAAAAAAGGACCGTTCGAGAACGGTTCAAAACACTCGCAGCGTTTATTGAAATTATTTGTGGTAGCTGAGCCGTTGTCATTTTTATTGAATGATAAACCGTGCGATTGTTTTGAACCGTTGTAGAACCGTCCTTTTTTCACATCCGAACAGGGCTATTATAATTTATTATAGGTCGGTTTCTGCGGAAATCACAAACTAGTCAGAGCGAATTTCATTCGTTGAACATAGTCCGAAAACTAGTTTCAACCAATAGGTCTGTTTCTGCAGAAATCACAAACCAGTCAGAGTGAATTTCATTGGTTGAAACGAACTTTCTGAGGTAGAGTATACAAAGTACAGGTGGACCCAATTAGGAAGAATAAAAAAAGAAAAAAAAGGCAGTTTTTGATCGTGTTGAGGTTTCCCTGGCATTCTCACCCTTAAGCCATGGATTTATGACCGCGCTCCACGATAAGCCTTACCCTATACCTTACTTTAGTGAATGCTAAGTAGCAATTACTGTATTCCTTTTATACATTGAGTTACACCAAACGAGCTCCTCGGAGTCACTCCAAAACACAATTCAAATTTTATCATTATTTTTTAATATTAACATTACCGTCCTTACCTAAAAGGGCTTCTTGCACCCCCCACAAATTTGGTGCATCAGGGGAAAGGGGGATGCACTATGAGCGACTCGAGTGCTTAAGGCACTTTTAAAAGGAACGTTCAAGCTTTTGACATTGAGGAGCTCTAAGTAACTCAACGGGTAAAAGGAATACAGTAAATGTAAGGACTATAAGGGCATCTAACTGCAACGATATAAATGAAATACCTAAAAAAAACACACGCCGAGCTTGGGATGGGGTTATATTTAGGTACTTGTTACAAAATAATTCTCTCAAAAAATGCCTGAAATTGATATGTGCAATAGAGAAGAATATACACAATATATGTTTCTCGTATTAGGGGAATATTTTGATGAACGGAAACTGAACCAGAGTTTCTTTCAAAATGTTACGAATTTATATCGTTGGCATTGGACAAAAAAACGCTTTGGAAATTAGTCACATTAGCAAGAGGCAAAGGGCTTAGAAAGTCTCAAGACACAAACAAAATACAAACAAAAAAAAACAAGCTAAAGTAGGAATGGAAAATTCGGCTTCAAGTGCGCTCGTCAATAGCGATTTCCTCAGATTCAAAAAATGTGAATCTTTTGTATTACCTCAAATAAAGTATGTCAACAATGTAATCAGAGTAGGTACTACTTATATTTTTTCATATAATAAAATTTACAGAATATCAAAAATGGAATCACTTACAATTAACGGTTAATTTAATTTGAAAGTATCACATTTTTTTTCATATTTCCTTTTCAGTATGTATTTAGAAATAAAAATTTTACAAAACAATAACAAAAAGATAGATAATATTTCCTGTCAATAAAGGTACCCTCAAAAAAATAAGACAAAGAAGGAGAGATCATTATAATACTTGAACTTATTCATCTTCAGATTTGGATCTCACATTCTAGAAAAAATCATTAGGTTTATCATCAAAATTTTGTACTTCTTGAATATTATTTTGTAATTTTGTCCTGAATACCCTCATTCTCCTGTGGTTGTATTTTGAAGGATATCAATAGGAAACATTATTACATTATTAATTAATACATGTTATAAACTAATAAACATAAATGACATTCGTGATGTTTCTAGAATTAACAAATATTGGGAGTAATAATATACAGGGTATACCATTTAAAACGAAACAGGCTAAATATCTGATGTCACTTTTATTTTTTTTCAAATCGCTCGTACACGTAACTTGATTGTGTGAAGTGTTTGAAATATTTTCAGCAATAATTTAACCCTATAGGGGGGTTGGGACCAGCCCTTAGCATTCCAAATGGAGCAGGGGGTCGAGTGATACCTGTTTTAAAAGACCGTTCAATTTCCTTTCAAATGACATCAAATGAAAGAAAATTGAGCGCTCTTTTAAAAGAGGTATCACTCGACCCCTTGTTTCATTTGAAATAGTAAGGGTTGGTCCACCCCGCCTAGAGGGTTAAAGTTGAAGTGCTAAAAATGATTGCAGAAAACTTCCCTCTTTGAAAATCAAATTACGTGTACGAGCGATTTTTTGAAAAATAAATGTGGCATCAGATATTTAGCCTGTTTCGTTTTAAATGGTAAAAAAAAAAAAAAACGTTTTTTTTTTTATAATCTATATATCTTTTTCAATTTGTAGGTTCAGTACTCTTTCGCTTTCAAAATCAGGTTCCGATAATTTTCTGTAGCCTTCATCATCTACAAAGCAAATTTCATGTCCATCAGGATCGGCCAAGATAAGAACTCTGACAGTTTCTTTGCCAGGAGTGTCCAGAGTCAGCAAAGGATTCAAAATTGTTTGCTTCTTTTCGGTAACATGTTTGGACAAAAGTTCTTGTTCAGCATAAGGAATGGAGAACGCGATACGACCATAGGCTTGGCGTCTGTCAATTGGACCACCTTAACAAATAAAATGAATATATTTGATTACCAAAACAAAAGCAAATCTTTTTTGGGCAACACTTTTATTGCAGAGTGAATTTATCAATTTGGCATTTACTGGATGCTTGTAAAGTTATAGCAACTTTTATTTTCCGAAAAAGCATGCACCCTTTGGATTGACTTTCGCAGATCGATTTATCCTTAGCCCAGCTTATTACATAAATATGTATATGTATAAATCGTAAAAATAGGTGAGTTAACAATGTTGAACAAACAACTACATCAACTTGGTCTTGTCCAGTGGTAAGTGAATTGAAATTAATTGTCGAAAAAAGTCGATATTTTTTGTCCTAAAGATAATTCACTGATTTCCAGTACATACTTATTTAAAAAACTTACCGATATATTCTAATTGAAGTTTAGTTCCTTTATCATCAAATCCAAAAGTGGCCGATTTTTCTGTCTGATCAAAAATCTTCAAGCCAAGAATGCCATTCCAGAAATTTATTGATTTGGCCAGGTTTGAAGAACTTAGGGTAACTTTTAGGAGACGATCTGGAAAAATGAGTTTTGTATTTAATAGTAGAAGGTAATTCTGTTTTAGGTACGTGAAAAGATAATATTTATTATGGTATGCAGGCTAAGGGGCAAAAGGTTGCAAAGTCAGGTAGGTATATTTTTAAAAGTGAAAAAACTATGGAATATCTTATAATCTAGGTACAGTTGCGATAAAAAAAAGTAGTACAAAAATTATTAACCCCAATTTGAGCTCCCGGTATAATATACAGAATGTTGACAGTAAATACATACAAATTTCAAAATATGTTGGGTTCATGCAATTACATATTCTAGGCTAAAAACGGGTGGAAAAATGCCAAAAAATGTCATCCGAAGCTTTGTAGGTTAAAAACTTGTCGAAAAATGCCAAAGTAATGTCATTTTTGGTTATACATTTGGTTATTATATGATAAACCAGGAGATTTTGGAGATTTTTGTTGTACATACTACTTTTTTTTTATCGCAACTGTACATCTTAAACATTTTAGACTCTTATTTGTTCCTTTAAGGACAGTATTCCGCAGGTTGGGTAAGTACATATAGTGGCGAGTCTACTATATTTCATAAAATTTGGGAAACCTGGTAGAGTTTTGAGATTCCCAGAGTTGAACAGGATACAATAGTTCCAGACTGGTTAGAGTTTAACAATATTTCATCTTCAAGTAATAATTATTGTGATATCACACCCATAAACCAGACCTTTTTTGGAATAGTTTAATCCCAGTGTTTTATTTACTTTGTTGTTAACTTTTGGCTATTTCAGTGATAAATGTGACTTGAGTAGATTTGTTTTTATTTATTTATGCACTCTCTTAAAATGGTAATTGAAACCATTAAAAAAATACGCGTTTTTTTAGATAATGCAGATTGATGAAATCTTAGATTAAAAGACGCAAATTGAAAACTTATCAAGAAATATCTCGATTATGTTATGCCCCGATGGTAATTTCTGATCACGTGAATCTTGAACCAGCCATTGTTGCTTCTCATGCATAGGTATATCCAGTCCAGGTTGAGATACGGAGTTCAATTTCCTGGTCATACACAGTATGGTTATGCATTCGAAGCATTTTAAAAATTGAAATACCTGATTATTTTTCATTAAAAAAATATATATTCTAACAGTTATAGAAATATTTTAAATTCTGTGATATTTGTGAATGAAGGAATTTCTTTATTGAGTGTAATATGGAACACAATCATGATCCTCTTTGAAAGACTTATTCAATACCTAAAAAATACAACTTTACGTACTTGCAAAAAAATTTGGGATGATGAATAATAGAAAAAAATATCTAATCAGTAAGGACTTGAGACTTTGATAGTATCAGAGAATTTCTTAATGATCCTTATAAAAAAATAAGAAATCAAATATAGAATAACTTTTAATGGAAATTACTACTTTCTCTTATTTAGGATTTCATAAAAATATATTTGTCAAGGACAAAAAATATCTTGTACCTAATTTTAAAAAAAAGATATAATTCCACTTAAGTTTGAATTAGGCCAAATCAATTATTTTAATACTTGAGACATGTCAATATTACACAGAATAATTAACTGTCTAAACACAATTTCCAAAGAAATGTTATAATAATATATAAACCCGAGTACAAACCTTTATCATCTGGTATAGGTTTATCCACAATAAAATACTTGTAGCCGCCTGGAGCTTCTAGAACATTTTCATCAGCAATGGGCCAGTTCTCTTTTTTAGCTCTTTTTAAAATTTCACCATCTTGAATGGTTATTCCCATGAAATCATTCCCTTTATCGTACGATTTAACTCCATAATTGTAAGTCAACTCAATGACGAAGTTTTCATGTTCTGAGCCATATCCAATCATCGTTTTACTCCAACGGCCATCGTATGCTCTAGAAGACGAAGGAAATAAGTCAAAAAATAGCTTTATCGTCTTAAAACAAAATGTTGCTGACAAAGCCGTACTAAGATAAAGTCTAAAAACTAACACTAAAATTAAAAATTAAAACATTACTCAGTTAAAACAGAGAACAAAAAACAGAAAAAAACCAGTCTTTACCAACGCATGAAACACACAAAGTCAAAAAATAGCTTTATTGTCTTAAAACAAAAGTACAAAATCTTGTACAATATGCAACGCAACAGTATAGAAAAAAATTACATTCGCTTTTCTTACATATAAAAGTTAACTCATTACAAAAGAAACGATACCAAACATACATGATTCTCACTGTTTTAGAGTCAGCTATAAATAAATAATAAAAAAAAATACATTGTCACTCACTGTCAAAAACCAAGGTCCAACATTCCTCAACCAGTTACTATCCTTTCAATAAAAAAATTGTTCGAGGCTATAGTATGCTTTTTCAACCAAAAAAGCCTTAACCTGCTTCCTAAAGCTCTTGTAGCATCTAAGCTTTCTTATTTCTATTGGAAGGTGATTGAAAAGTTGTTTACCTTCATATATAAATGATTTTTTTACCAGTTGAGAATGAGGTATGGCGAAGCTGAGAAGAAACGACTGACGAGTATTATAGTGTTTGTCCGCCTCCCTGTCAGCCCCGTATTTCCTGAACATCATGCACACCGTTTCCATTATAAACATTGAATAAAGCAAGTAAAATGAAGACAGGGTCTCCATCTATTTTCTGATCGGCACACTAAAAGATTCACGTGATCAGAAAATAGATGGAGACCCTGTCTTCATTTTACTTGTATTAAACCCAGTTCCGGGATGGAACCAAAAATGGGTTGTGTTTTCTCTCTGCGGGACCTAAACCGTGCTGATGAGCTGTGATACAGCGAAACGCGTCCACGGATGGTCTTGCAGAGATAAAACACTTCTCAATCGGTCCTTAATTGGGCCGTTACCTAATTAATATTGAATAAAGCTTAAGGATAGCATGACCGATGAAAAGAGGGCGACAGGAATCACGAGTCTTTACTCTGAATGTACAGCATCCTCTTCTGAAGCAGAAACACTGAATTAAACAGTGAACGGGTGCAGCAACCCCAAAAGCTTAGGCCATATCGTATGTGAGACTCCACCAAAGCGTAGTATGCATTCTTAGCAACCGATACATCCAAACTCCCCAATATCACTCTTAGGAGTTTTAAGGCATAACATCCCGAAGAAACCTTTTTACAAAGATAAGAATTGTGATCGTCAAACTTTGAGAGACTTATCAATTGTGAGGCCCAGGAATTTGTTGTGTTTTTGTGGAGTTACAGGATTATCCTCCAGGTAAACATTCTCCAGTTCGCATTTAAAGTTTAAAACATTGGTTTTTGAAACATTGAACGATAATAAATTGGAATCGCACCAGTCCTTCACCATCCTCAAATCTGCATTGATGTCATTATTCAATTTCTCCACATCTGAGCCGTGCCACAAGATTGTCGTATCGTCCGCAAAAAGAGTAAACTTTCCCGAAATTGGGAGTTGGGGCAAATTGTTGACGTAAACCAGAAAAAGAATGGGTCCCAGCACAGATCCCTGTTGGATTCCAACATTGATGTTCATAAGCGTTCTGACTCAGCATCCTTTTAATAGATAACAGGTCAGCAAGAGGAGTTCCTATTATTTTTTTTTGAGGCAATTTGTTTTTCACCACTGTAATGCATATTGTAAAAACAAAATAAAAAATACCATTTAGAATTTAATTATCAAGCTTGGGGAATCATAATTATTACGTATAGGTATTTATTAATGTTATGGGAAATTCCAGTATTAATATGTGGCCATTATTGTTCTACTTCTACTACATAAGCAGAATAAACATTTCAACATAACATTTGTCAAAAGCTGATAACGATAACTAAGTAAAAGTAGTAATTATTTTTGTATAAACTTGAACTGTTCACTAAAAAAATAGTCATAATTCTATCATAATTATTGCCAAAGGAATTTCTTACCCATTACATTGAGCGTCACATCCTTCTTTGAACTCTTCATGTCGCAATACTTTCATTCCTAAAACTTTTCTGTAAAAGTCCATAGTATTTTTGCGGTCTGGTATTTTGAATACAAAATGAAGACCTCTTCCATGTAGACTCACCATTGTAGAACTGGGAAAAAAAGTGAAAGTATCAACTAAATTCCCATAAAAAAAATTAGTTGTAAGAAATGAGATTCTCTAAACTTTGACAATTTTCCCAACTGATTTTCTGCCAAATACCAGAGGCATGTATTTACAAATGAATAGACGTGTCTAGGTTGATGAGAATTTGTCTTTACAGTTAACGTTACGGACACTGAGCAGGCCTTTAATAATTATTATCCTACTAGAGTGTAAAAATATCAAAATTTGTAGCAAATCCGGTAAGTTAAAAGTTGTGAAAATTTTGATTTTATTATAATACAAAAACAAATGCTCCAGGAGCCTGAAATGAATCCAATTAACTTACTATTTTCTTGTAGGCCAATTATCGCAAACACGTTTAATTTTAACACAGTTGACAATTCGCGAAACTCTCCAAACAAGTAAGTGGGAATTAATTGAATTGAACAGAAACATGTAAGAGCATGCATAACCTTCATTCGATCACCTGATTTAACATAAACACATATTTTTAAAACGGCGTCATCTATAAATTGAATATGAAAGTAAATAAACATTAATATTTATATGCAAAGATTTCTACTACTAGCAAGATATTTGGAGGTTTTGAAAAATCCAGCATCGTCAGCGACAGAGCCCGTTTGGTACTCTCCTGAGCAATTAACCTGAAGAAACTGTAGAGCATCGTTTTCTAAATAGAAAAGTCTGTGACCGAGCCTGAGAAAAAACTTTTTCTCAGTGATATGTCGCTGAAACATAGGTAGGTAAATACCTATTTGAAATTTAATGGCGCATTATGGTAGCACAGAAAAGATAATGAATTTTATTCAAATATTTCACTGCTATGTGTTCGCCCCCTAAGAAACTTCTCTTCTATACGTCGATTCCATGCATGAAACAGTTTTTTTACCTCTCATAAAGCCAGGGACACATCTATCATGCATTCTTCCGATCCGACTCCGATCATACAATCAAGGTCCTTATTCTTGGAACAGGGGAGCAGCGAAACACTCGTTCTCCTTGGGAACGCTGTTCCCTGTTCCAAGAATAAAGACCCTGATGATTGTATGATCGGAGTCGGATCGGAAGAATGCATGATATATGTGTCCCAGGCTTAAAGCGGTTACACACGGACGTGGATGTCTGAAAACATGTACGCACATACATGAACGCGCAAAGAAATACATCAATGTGTATGCAAAATACCGTCGCGTTTTTGAATGTGCAAACTGTAGAATGACGTTCAAATGAATTCTGGAATCGCTAGAAATTTTGTCTGCACACTTGGAATACTGTAGCAAGAGTAGCAAGACTGACAGTTTTGTGCGAGCGTCTGCACAAATACTGTATTCCTTTTATACATCGAGTTACACCGAACGAGTTCCTCGGAGTCACTCCAAAATACACAATTCAGATTTTATCATCATTTTTCAATATTAACATTACCGTCGTTACCTAATAGGGCTTCTTGCACCCCCCGCAATTTTTTTGCGTCAGGGGAAAGGGGGATGCACTATGAGCGACTCGAGTGCTTAACGCACTTTTAAAAGGAACATTCAAGCTATTGACATTGTGCAGCTCCGAGTAACGCAACGGGTAAAACGAATACAGTAACAGGTGACATGCACGTTGTTGTTTGCATGTTGATGTATGCACGTATATATATCAAGCCATCCACGTCCGTGTGTAACCGCCTTATAGCAGCCATGGACCCAAATACACAGACCACCAAGTCTGGACACACACACGATTCCAGAAATAAAACATCAATAATTTTGTATTTTTGTTTTTATTTTTAGCAAAAATAAATTAAGTAAAAATGTGAAAATATCACAAGTTTAAAACTAAATTCAACTCCACCGTTAATAAGTGGAACATGTAGGTAGCTGTTTTCTCGATTATTTTAACAAATTTAACTTACAAACGAACCTAAATATAATTAAAACACATTGTAGGCACTCATAATTTGCCCTTTAATTTTTTTTTTGTTTGGATTGACTCATAATTGAACGAGTTTTCAGAATTTTTTTTGAAAGTTTACTTAATAACAAAGCAAGTAACGCAATTCCACCAAAGACACAAGCAAGTACGTCCAACATGTAGTACTTGTACAGTGGCAAGTCTAGTCCAGCGACTCTAAGGTGTGAAGCTCCCTTATGTCTGACGACGTATTTGATCCAGTAGTCGGCAAGTTCAATTGGCTTTATGGGTCGATCATGAATTATCCTAGAAGCTAGTTTTGCATTTTCGAGGTATCTGAAAATGAGAAAATATTTTCTGTAATGTTAATGGTACACTCTCAGTTGTCTGCTCTGTTATAAGCAGGGACGTCTTAAGACTTCTTGAGGCCCTGGGCCTATATTTCAAAGGAGGCCCCTTACCTACAGGGGGGGGGGGGGTGCTCTAGGGCATTCGACATGAATAAGTTAGAAAAACTTTTGAAATGTAAAAATGTAATGTATATATTGTGGAAAGTGAAAAGAAAATAACAAATTACAAAGGTCGTTTTCTAGATTTTACAGAGGCAAAATCGTGAATTATGTCTTCAAAATCAACGGTTTGTAAAATTTTGCTTTCAATACTCAAAAAATCATGGATAAAAAAATTCTCATACCAATTTCATGTTTCCTCCCCATTTCTACTCGCTGTTTTTTAATATCTATGCTGATATAGGATTTGAAATGGTCACATTCCAAAATTAATTCATCGGTTTCTTTGTCATAAAATTGTGACAGTTTTACCGCTTCTCTTGAAATTTCAATTTCATTGAGGTCAGACATTTTTTCAAAAAAACCGATTCTTTCAAATATTTAGTTACCCGTTCCTTCAAGGAAAGTTACTTTGTCTTATCACTCGTGTCGTAATATCGCGGAACTCCGTTAAAACAGATTTTTCTCTGGATTTTGATTCATAAAAATCAAAATCGTCTCTTTTTCTTTTATATATGCCATTAATGATTTAATAGTTATTTACCTAACGAATGCGGAAAGTGATACTTTACCGCACGCAACGGCAGTTGATCGGTCAAGCCTTTAAGGGTGGTAAAGGCACTTTCCGCATGTGTTTAGGTACAAAATTTTACCTATGAACATCTACATCTCCAAAACAAGGCATTAATAAAATTAATCAATAAATCATATCAATTAATGAAATTAGATTAGATTTAGAAATGATCAAAAATCCATTTTCTGAAAAAGAAAGGATTTTTAATCATAAATACCAAAGTCTACTTTACCGCATACTATGCGGTAAAGTTAACTTTACCTCACACAGTAAAGTTACTTTACCGCATAGTGTGCGGTAAAGTTAACTTTACAGCTTAGTGTGCGGTAAAGTGGATCACAAAGTGTGCGGTAAAGTGCACTCTACCGCATAGTGTGCGGTAAAGTAGAATTTGATATTCATAATAGAAAAATCCTTTCTTTTTCAGAAAATGGATTTTTGATAACTTCTAAATCTAATCTAATTCCATTAATTAATCTGATTCATTAATTAATTTTATCAATGCCTTTTTTTGGAGATGTGTAGATGCTCATAGGTAAAATTTTGTACCTAACACATGTGGAAAGTACCTTTACCGCCCTTAACGGCTTGACCGAACTCCGCTTCGCGTCGTTCGGTCAACTGCCGTTGCGTATCACTTTCCGTATTTGTTAGGTAAATAACTATTACAATTGTAGACAAATTTCAGTTTTCCTTTTGGACTAACAAATTTCAGTTTTCCTTTTGGACGAACAAATTTACTCTGTTAGTCCGAGTCAAAATATCATTCCAAAAAATAGTTAAGAAAGTAGTTTCTAAGTCATCCATCTTGCTGTTTAATGTTTTTGCAGTAAGACGTGTATCTGCTGATTGCAATTTGTCATTCTTAAGGTATTAAGGCTCATTTGGATTTCTGTATCCACAATTTAAAGCTGTAACTGCATCTTCACGTGAAGACCAACGTGTTTTTGATAAGCTTTTCAGTACTTTATGATCGGAACTTAAATTTGAATTCATTTCCCAACGGTGCATTGACGAGGAAAAGAAATCGTATATAGAGGTTTTGAACAAAGTCAAAGTAAATTGTGACATTCAAGTTGCATTCGCGCCGCTGGGCCCGGGCCCAGGGCCTTGGCGCCAAGGGGGCCTCATCGCTAAGTCCACGCCCAATTTAAAATAAAATTTATAGAAAAAAAATAATATTTTTTTTCCATTTTTTTTCTATAAATTTTATTTTAAATTGGGCGTGGACTTAGCGATGAGGCCCCCTTGGCGCCAAGGCCCTGGGCCCGGGCCCAGCGGGCCCATGCCTTAAGACGGCCCTGGTTATAAGTTACACCAATCCAAAACTCATGCAAAAATCAGTGCACCCACAAGCACTTCACCTTTTTAATTCAATAAAACCAGTTAAACAACCACTTCATAATGCAAAAGAATATAATGAAAAACAATAATTTGATTTTGTCAGCCTTTTCTCAACGTTATCATCCACGCGTCAAGCTAGCTTTTTTTTCATTTTCGTCCGTGACGCATCCCTACTTTCCATTAACCTGAACGTGGAGCACGACATAGTGGCGACTGCAATCGCGAGACTCACCAGTGATGTCGTGTTCTTTACAATCGACCATGCTACTGTCTTCCACGTCCTCGTGGAACTACCCTAGATGAGCTTCTGACTATTAGTTCTTGATCTGATAGACATGGAGAGAAACCCGTCAGCTGCGTTTGTAATTCAGTTTTCTACGAGATGTTTTTTTTTCGGGAAACAGCAGTGTGAGTGCAAGAAAGGCCTTTGTTCTCGCTGGAATACCCGTAGAAAACTTTGCCCATAACGGTATTTTTCTCGATTCGATATTCATGCCACTGCTCAGCCGGTAACCTTACAGTTTCTCCAGAAACTAGGCTGATGAAGGAAGGTCTGTCCCTACCATAATTGCAACATCTTCGATTTCATTTGGTACCACTAACAGCTCATAACTTCTGCTTCATCTCGATCAACTTTTAAATGAGCCTTAATAGTGTCAACAACATTCACAAGAGACCCTCCATAGCCTTAAATGGTTATTGTTGATGGAAAAATCGGCAGGTTCAACAGTCTGACGTCTTCATCTTCTTTGACTAGCACTATGCACTACAGCTCGAATCAACATACTATTTTGAAAAAGTTCCATTTATATCCAACAATCAAAATAATACGTAGTAAATTTTGACTGTTGAACTGCTATTTGGTTTTTAATAGACTGTCTACGACAATCCTTCGATTAATGTCTTAGCCGTTTGCAGCTTATGTACATTCGATCCTAGTTTCCAAAAATTTGTTTGCCGAATGTCCTTGTAGTTGTAAGATCTGAACGGAAACGGTTTACTAGGTTTTGGTTGTTTGGCAGGTCTTGAAGCTTCAATACGTTGGAACACAGCCAGACGTAGTCGTTCTTTAACTGGATTTGAGCTAGTAGGTTGTGGTTCTTGTGGTGCAAGTGAGGATATATACTCGGCATATAACTGATCGAGTGTCTAATATCTTCCCGCTCTAGCTCCTGCCTAGATACCTGCGTCACGAAAACGGCATCAATGACCCCATGACACTAACTTTTTGCCAGCTACTTTACAAGCACTGACATCTTATCAAAATAATAATGATCCCAAGATCCCATGATTCTTCGGGCAACTTGAATCGATTTACAAGAGCGCGCAGAGTGTCAAGGCGAAGTTTTGATGTTCAGGACATAATTTACTTAAAATTTCTCTCCATTCAGTCCAAGAAAATTGATATGAGGATAGATTTTCATAACTTCTGGCCGGCGAACCCTCACTCAGACGATTTTGCATTACGAAAATTATGGTGTACATTCAGGTTTTTCTAATATTTGACCTCTTCTGGGGTTTTGCTCTACTTGGTAGCCAATAAGTTTTTTTACTAATGCTTCTACAAACTTTATCGCGAGTGGAAGGTGGTGTATAACTACGCCGAAGATCTCTCGTAACAAAATCATTGTGGCATCTGCTGTATTGCGGCAAACCATACACAATTATGGTTCCAAAAAGATTGAGCCACAGCTCATACAGCAAATGCTACAATGGTTCTGTTACGGAAGATCAATGGCGAACACATTATGTCGCGTAGGAGCAATTTTCATTGGCCACTTTTTTTTTGGGGGCTATTTGAGGGAGAGAGTCATGCAACATCTGTCAGAAAGAGCACGAGTTTGCGAAGCAGAAAATGGCAGACACTTGCGAGATGTAATTTTTCACGCTTGAGTCAAAAATGTTCTCCACTCATACACCTACTTAGAAATAAAAAAGTTATAAAGCATTCAAATCATAACATTCATTTTGCGCCACCCTGTAGTTCAGCTAGGTATTGTTATGATATGTTAGTTGTTTACTCACTTTGGATTGTCTAAGACTTCTTCCAAAGCATCCCTAAGCCCTTGTTCTGTAATCTGGGAAAACGTTATTGCGATACCAAAACCTTTGGCATCGATCCTTTTAGCGTTCAATTTTTGATCTCCATAAATCGGGAAAGCCAGAACAGGAATGCCCAACGACACAGTTTCTATGGTACTTAACAAACCACCATGAGAAATAAATAATTTGCATTTTGGATGAGCTAAAAATGATATTTGAGTTAATAATTTAGTCATTGCATCTAAGTTTGCATTTTGTTGAATTAGGTAGGTACCTACTAACCTAAAATTGCTTGTTGTGGAAACCATTTGGAAATCATCACATTACTAGGTTTGTTTTCTAGTTGATCCTCATTCCATTTCCATAATATCTTTTCCTTTCTAGAACCCAATACTTTCAAAATAATATTTTTTTTTTCTTGGGGCATATTTGAAGGTACAAGATTAGAACCCAAACTAAAGTATATTACGCCTTCTTTAGCATTATCCATAAAATCTTTCAAATCCTCTGGTAACTCTTTGGGAGGATTAACGTGAAAACCTCCGATATCGATCATATTAGGTACGTGAGGAACTGCTTGATTAATGCTTTCATGTGAATTAAGAAGTACCAAAGAAGCATTATATTGTAGTTTTGACAAATGTGGTGCGTTTGGAAAGTATTTATGCAATATTGTATTATGCTTTGGATAAACGTACTGGTACAAAACCAAATCGCTTGCTATATCAAAAACAAAGTTATACAGTCTTTCGTAGAAAGTCATGTCCGAACCAAAACTCAGCAAAATATCTGGGATATAACTTGGATTCGCTGGATTAGCTACTAAGTTATTTATCCATCTATTTGCCCCAATGGTACTAAATAGAATAAGCGGTGCTTTAAAATGATATGGGATGTATGTCATGCACTCGATAAAAAATTGTTCAACAATAACTGCATCAAAACTTTCATTTGAATTTAGGAGTGCTTTTACTTTGGTGCTGTTGAATATCATTTCAGACAGTGGCGGTGTCACTGTTGGCAGAAATATCATTTGCAAGAATGGAGACATATTTTCCATTTCAAACATGTTGGGTTGTTTTCCACTGGCTAAAACAAAAGATAATATGTAGTTAATAATTTTTATGATAACTTTAACGTATTCCTCTGATCAATACTCATAAGCTGGATTTATACAGCAAATTAAAATAAAATAAGATAAAATAACAAATACATAGCTAATGCATTTCTTATACTCCGGTCAATTTAAACATGCAAGGGTACAAAAATTCCCATAGAGCTGAAAATTGGTATGAATGTTTGGAACACCAGTTTAAATAAATGGTAAAAAGTCCCCATCGATCCCGTACCTGCAATTTTTTTTTATTCAAGGTCAAATGTCTCAAAAATTGTTTTTTCGCGTTTTTCAGCAAAACGGAAAGTTTTATCATTTCATGAAGTGAGGTCAGACAAAAATGCAATAATTATCTATGAAAAATGTCCAAATACTTTTTTCTAAGAACCACCGTTTCTGAGATCTAACGATTCTAAAAGTTGTAATCTTCATAATATGCACACGTTTCCACGCCACCTGTAAAGTAGTGTGCTAAAGCGCGCTCTTTTTTTTCGCCATACTGTACTATTCAACTGTTATCTTAACATGAGCGAAATTGAAACTGAAAATGTATATTTAAAGGCCGCCGGCCGGTTAAAATATAAATATCGGTCACCGGCCGTTCCCTAATAACACCGATCTGCCAGAAACATCCCATTTATGTACCATTAAGGTCCTTATGTTTCCGACATAAATGGTACATCGCTGCGATGTTTGTAATGTAACATCTCTAGGATGATTGTCCTGAAATGTTTTAGAAACATCCTTTCGAAAATATCTATCGATAAAAAGATTTTTGTTCTCAAAATTTAGATACCTATTACACCTAAAAAATGGCTAACATTATTTTACAAAACTAGGTAGGACCTCAGACCGGTAGGACCCAGTATTAAATTTGCCAATTTTGTGTGATTTCTGAAAATGTCTCTATCACACATACAAACTAATTTCAAATTCCATAATATACCTGTAATGTATATAGATAAGGAACTTAATATTAATTTTGTATTGTAGCACAGCAAAATTTAATTTTTCATTCGACTTACAACTTGGAATAAAATAAAATAAAATATGTATTGATAAAAGTCTTCTCTCTTTTGAACTTTCAAACATCGTGAATATTCGTGAAGCCGAAGTGTATGGCGCAGGCGCGTGCTCGGGCATTTGTACTTGTACCTCTGCACGCGGCCACGTCGGCGCCGCAGCCAGCGCAGACGGGCAGAATCAGTCGAACGGGTTGTTCTGTGTGCTTCGCTTGTGTTGTTGGGCGGAATTTTATTTCGTAATGGCGTCGTGCCGTGTGGAGGATTTGTCAATTTGTGGTTTTTCGCTACACCTAGTTGTGCCATTTTGTGTTCGAAAGGATCTCCGCGACATACCAGTGCTTATTAGTTGGTGAGAAAGATTATTTGTTGAAAGATAACGTCGCATAATTATCAATTGTTTAGTTTATTTAATTTCAATATGGCGTCGGTTAGGAAATTTCTAACTTTTCTGATAAATAGCCCCTAAAAACCCGAACTTCATTCTTCATTAGGTAAGAGAAAATAACCAATAATTATTTTTTGTTTTCATAGTTGATTACATTCTAGGTGTGCAAGTTGAATTGTACTTCAAGAACTTTGGATTTTGGTTCTGTGGTTGTTTTGGTTAGTTAATGGTACCTTTATGAAATTGGAGCACCAAAAAAAAAAAGAAAACGCCGAACTCCCCCACTACAACATGCTGCCACTGCCAAACTATGGTTTTCGATGACATGACGGGGCATAAATACTACATTATTTAGGCAAAATTGTCCGTCGGTTATTATTAGTTGATAGATAATCAATATACCTAAGTATGCATGTACCTTATTTTTTCAATAAAAAATGTTATTGGAAACTGATGTGCCTACTTAATTTTATAATTTTCAATTTTTGTTTTTTTTTTGGAAAAAGTTCTATCTGACTTCCAGAAAATAGAACGAAAATTGAAAATTATTGAATTAGGTAATTTTTAATCCATAATCCTAAAATTCATTCACCTATTAAAGTCATACTAGAAACATCCCTGAGAGATGTTTCTTACACCTGCCCCGGATGTATTAGGTACATCCCGCGTCATCTTAGAAACATCCCTGAGAGATGTTTATAGGACATCGCAAATGATGACACGGCTGTTGCCTGCAACATCCCAGGGATGTCCCCAGGAAAATAGGGACCTCCCAGGGACGTCTTCATTATCCCTGATGGATGTTTCTGGAATGTTTCTGCGATGTTACTGTGTTATTAGGGTTATTTTCAAACATACCCCTATAGGAGATTCTGCAGTATGACGAAAAATTTATAATGAAACAGGGCCGATGACTACAAATAATAGCCGTGGCTGATTATAATCCGGCCGGTATTTGGCTATTTACGGGCCTTATAACGTTAATGACGTGTTATCCGGTAGGCCTATTCCGCGGTCTATTATGGTCCTGTTCAATTTAAAACTATTGAATAATAAAAAATAATAGTATTGGGAGTGATGAAAGCGGTATACATTTTAAAAAATGGGGAAAATAATTCGTCAGATTCATAATCGTCTAATACTTCTGCTTCCTCTTCATCTTGTTCTTGTTCTTCTTGCTGGATGCAAGTAAATTGCATCAATAGCGATGCATCACATGTCTCCTCAATGGTATCATACGAATCCTCTTCTGTTGGTGATTAAACATTGGATCCCGACTGGCCTTGACAACAAGTACATGCAAGAGAACAAAATAATCCAACTTTTTTGCAACCGTATTTAGCACTGCGTCCCCTTTTACAATTGCAAAAAATTGTGTTGAGCAGTTTTTCTGGCGCAGAGGAGAATAAAGTTTGGACTGGTTCCAATATATTGTCGTCTGTCCATCAACTTCCAACCACAGTTTTTTGGATCTAGTTGATAACCAAGCCACACTTGAACTTGATAGTATACCCACACACTGCACATGTAGATATTGTCACATCTCAGAGTTCTGATTTTTCAGATATTCCAAAAATTCATCAGCTTTTTCAGTATCTACTTACATTGATTAATGTCTTCATGCTACGATCAGCAGTAAAGGTTTCACCCTCTTCCTTTTGACCTGACATGCTTTTTATTTGATTAGTTTTTTAGAAGTTGGATTCAGGTCAATAAAACACCATTGGAGATGAAAAATATGTATTTTTCGACGTTTCGACCTAAACTAAGTCATCCTCAGGGCACAATTTTTTTTTTAAATTTATTTATACAGCTTTTATCATTTCCAATACTATTATTTTTTACTATCCAATAGTTTTAAATTGAATAGGATCACAATATATCGTGGAATATGCTTTGACCTTCATTAAAAAAAATTGCAGGTACGGGATCGATGGGGACTTTTTAACATTCATTTGTAATGATGTTCCGAACATGCATATCAATTTTCAGCTCTCTGGGAATTTTTGTAACTTCACTCCTATTTTTAGGAGTATTTTGACCGGATTATTATTTTATTTGTTATTTTCTGTAAACACTTTAAGGGTATCTCATGAGGTTAATTGTTGTTTCTTATTTGTTATTTTATCGTATTTAGCCTAACGATAAGTATTCTTTAAACTGACATTTTCTTCATGTAAAAATGTCATTTTAGGGAATCTATCTTCCTAACTTGAAACCAGTTGCTTAGTTTAAACCCAACTCCATTACTTGAACATCAATATAAAACATATTCCAGGAAAAAAATGAATTATGTTGAGTCATGTCTAAAAAGGCTCATCAAAATATGGTTAAAATTGAAAACCAACTAGATATATTTGGAAGATGCCATTTTATCTAATACAGTGTTTCCCAATTTAGATCTTCAACATTAGGATCTTGGTTATCAGGGATAGAGAGTCACGTATGGAATAAAAATCCAAAATGGCGGCTATAAGAAAAAATGAAGTTGCGTCTAGTATTATGAAAACGAAAGAATATCGATGATTTTAAACATTAGCAAAAGATTGCTTTCACAAATGTGTCCCAATATTGTCAGAGTTTCACAGATGTCAAATCGATAGTTTTTGAGATATTATGAACAAATATCAAATTCGGCGATATTCATTTCTTTTCATCTATTTCAAAAACAAATAATTTTTAATAAAATTCAAAAGCAGATTCTAAATCAGCATAAAATTCTCTAAAACTTTCTTAATTTAATAGACTCATCTCTATCTCTTAATAACCAAGATCCTATAATGGAGAGAATCTAAATAATTGGGACACACGGTATGTGTATGAGAATCATTAAATTTAATTTTTATTTGTAGGTAGATGTATTATTTGATTGCCATTCTGTACCTATCTAATCTATTGGTATGAACTTGAACTCTAGTCTAGTACCTATCAACGAAGTTTTAAATCTGTTATTCTCTCATCATATTATCAATCATTTCATTATTGCGAGAATATTATTATTAGTAGGCCTTGCTATCTTTTCCTGAGAAATGTCAATGACCCGAAATTTGCGCATTTTCTTAAAGCTTCTTTCCTACCATGTCTTTTCAAACAATATAATCATTCCCGCGCAATAATATTGTTTATCTATACAGTAGTAATCTTAATTGCCTATCAAAATATCTACAAATGTTTTTCATTTAGGGATCCACTTAACTGATTATATTCATTTAATACCTACCAAATGAAAAAAATTCTAAATTAGGTACTTAGACATTGGATAGTTTGAAATAAAAAAAATATATATATTTTCGTACCTTCTTTGAACTCCATTATTTCCGATATCCAAACACTTCTATACCCTTTCGGTGGATTATTTTCTTCAAATGCCGCTATAATGGTAACTTCATGGCCCAAATTGGCCAGTCCTTTGGCCAATTCATTACCTAAAATATAATGACTGCGCGCTGGCAAAGGAAACACACACAACAATTTTAAACCGTTAACACTAAGAGCAAAACATTGCAAAATCCCTAAATAAATTAATATAGCTTTCATGTTGAATTCGGTACTCCCACTGATGTATTATATAATACCATAAGTACATTCATACGCTCGCATCACAAATCACAACTGCAAAGCGCAATATCAGAGGACGCTAGCGGCGACTAAGGGAAACTGAATTCCTGACAAAAAATAATTACTATACCTAAATTTTAAATTGAATGCAAACCTAACACTTAAAACAAATTGATGCTTGATGGTCGACACAGTGGAAGGGCATATACATTTTGATGACCAAACAACTTATTTGTTTCATCAGCGTACCCAATTTAAAATATCTTAATTATTATTGATAGGCCAGAGCCAGCTAAATAATTAATGACTTCTTTGATATTGTTACGACATTACATTGGTGCGCGAATATTCAGGATTTCGTTCCATTATTGTGAGATTTAAATAAACAAGCAATTTTATAATTCTAGAGTTTTCTAGATTGAATGGTTTTGTATATAAAGCGCATAGTTTGTAAGTCAATTAGTCAGTTCAAATAATATAGAATTCTTGTATGTATTTTGTAAAGTCAATTGGTAATTATTAATTGCATCAATAAAAGTTATTGTTAGTAAGAGAGTATTAGTGGACCCCCAGAAACCGTGAAAATTTGGTGTCAGAAGTGGGATAATATAAACACAAGCAAAGCAAAACAAAAGTAATAGGTAAAGTAGCACAAATATGTTAGCAGCTTGTACTTTCAAAATCAATAAAGTTGAATATTTTCCAGTTGTATGGAAGCGCAAGAAAATAGAAAAAAGAATAATGTTATGCCTTTCTTATGAAACTCCGCCTGGGCCTGTCAGACAGGTTGATAAAAGTTATTCTAAATTATCAAATCTGTAATTATTTCACTCAGAGGAAGAGATGGACTAATGAAAATCTGGAACCAGAAGCAATTAACAGAAACGATTTTATTATTAATCATTTGACATGGTGACTGACTTCGCAAACAGTATTTACTATAGGGCAATCCAAACAAAATGGCGGTCAATGCCAAATTAGCGCCATAAATTTAATTCAAACAATCGTGACATTTTTCATCAAAAAACTGTTTTTTGTGTATTTTATGGTGTTTTTAGATGATTTTCTAGGGGTTGGAAGGATAATTTCCGTATTTTAAGATGGAAAGTTTTTAGTTTAAGAAATTATTAGTGGAAAACCCGGATGTTCGTAAAAGTTATGATTTCTTTGGGACAAACCTTTACCTATTCACTAAACAATTAGGTACAGGTAGGTACTATCCAGGTTCCTGAATCCTGATGTACTTTTATATTATATTTGTCTGCTATTCAAGGTATCGACACAAGTTGATGTGGAGGATAGTGAATGGCTTGGATCCATACACCGTTTATGTAGAGAGACTTTCTGGTTTTTTAATTTGAATTTCGTCAGATTTTTTCTCTTTTGCTACAATCCATGAAGCCCTCACAAAGTACAGACAAATCATTTTTCTCCGTTAAAAACCTGTGTTTTGTCTCTGCAGAAACGGCATGAAACTAGACTTTCTCGCGATTAGAACGGCTTCCACAACTAAGTACAATACATAACGTATGCATTTTCCCATTTTCCAAAAAATCAACACTTTACAGACTCCATACAAATCAAAAATCGCAATAAAACGGCATTTTTTTTAAATAAAAAGGCATTGGCCTCCATTTTGAATTTCATTTTGACAGGTCGTTGGAATGCCCTATTTACAACCCTCAACCCAACCTGATTTTCCTAAAGCTATTCTAACGGGTCTTCAAAAAAAAAAACGCTAATCAAAGATGGCTATTTGCACTATTCTGTTTTTTTTTTCTTCGAAATCTGCATTTTCTCGAGCGAGAATCTTCTGACAAATAGAAACCGATAATGCCAAAAAATTGTCACTGTGAAATTTATTTATAGAAACCGGGGCGGCGTACGTACTTTTCTGTTATCAAAGCACTGTTTGATTTAGTTTTTTTATGAAGTCTATAAATTACCCGCAGATCCAACTCTGGAATTGCGAGGCAATCGTAGAGTATGCAGCTGGGTTCCTTGATATTTCACTCTTAAATCATGAAATTGGACCTCATTTCGGTAACAGATGACAATTTCGGACAGAAGACGCTAACCGGTCAAGACTTGTGTGCCATTTTTAACACATGCCACGACCCAATCAACGTACAAAATGCGCGGATGCCGAACACGACATATCAAAAAATGGCCAAAATCCATGAAGCCCAAAAATCCCATGTAAGCCGTGCGTTATAAGCTTTCAGTAGGAATGGATTCAATCAAACTTTAATCTCCTCAGGCTCGAGAAAATCCAGGAAGAGCGAGATAATAAATTCAAGCATGCATTAGAAGAAGTACGTGAAGAAGATGAAAGGTGGACTGTTCGTCAGGAAGGGAGTAATTTGTTATTGTAGAACTACTCAACTACATGGTACATATATCAATTTTGTACATCAAACACGTCAAAAACCGTCCCATGAACGGTTACGAAACCACTCTTAGTCTGTTCCAACACGTCAAAAACCGTCCCATGAACGGTTGCGAAACCACTCTGTATACGAATTTCGGATTATACTGTCATGGCTCTGGAGTGCGTGACAAAAATCTTGGGTCCGTTTATTCCAAAATCAAAGTTCAATTAACACAAAAATATTTTATTCCACGTTACTTTATACTCTGACACTAATTACTTCACAAATTAACTTAAACAACCTAACTCTTTAGAACTCTTACGAAATTTAATATCTAAATCGTATCACAGTCAATCTTAAAACTTAAAAACTACTAACTAATACCGGCCTTTATATATCCGTAATCTATTCTTGCAAAATCCAGAATAAACGCGATAGACCTTTTTCCCGAAGAGCACTGTAAAAATCTAGAATTCTGCTATCTGATTCTGTATCTTAAATAAATAAATAAATAAAAATGTCTTCATTCTCAGATTTTTTATATTAAATTTACATACATTCATCTTGTGGAGGAGGCGCACGTAAATTCCGTTACACTGCCCTCCTCTTAAGATTGATGTCCCGATCAACTTCACGACCATGATATTTCGTCAATCTGTCTAGATATACAACTTTCATCTTACTCCTGGTGTTACGCTGAACTCGATAAACCAAATCATTGATCCCCATGATTATTCTGTAGGATCCTTTCCATGCTGAAGTCAAATTGGGCGACACTCCTTTCTTTCTTGCTGGATTATACAGCCAAACTAAATCATCTTCTTGAAATCCTGCTGAATTGGCTTATTTCAAGTCGTATCTGGTCTTCATTCGGTCACTGGCCAGCTGAACATGCTCCCGAGCTAAATCGTGTATTCCTAGAAGTCGTGCCTTCACTTCGTCGGCATAATCTCGAATTTTTTTACGTTCTTCTGCAGGTATTCCAAACATCGGATCGCAAGGTAACTTGGAGTTCTCTTCCAAAAACGTTTCTAGCTGAACTTTCACCTGTTGACTCGTGAACAGCTGCTCTGTAAGTCATTAAAGTAGAGGCAAGTGTTTGTCCCAATCTCGCTGGTTCTTTGCGACCACTTTTGTCAGGTGTTCCTCTATGGTCTTATTAAATCGTTCTACCATGCCATCAGACTGTGGATGTAAAGGTGTTGTCCTTGTCGTACAAATACCCATGATCTCACAAATTTTCTTAAAGATGGCAAATTCGAAGTTTCGTCCCTGATCTGAATCCAACTCTAGTGGCACACCATGACGACTGAAAACTTCGTCCACTGGCACCTGGGCAATAGTAATTAATGGCTTCTTGATTGAGAAAAGCGAAAACTTCTAGCCATTTACTGAAGTAATCCATGATAACCAAGATGTATTTGTTACCACGCTCTGGCTCAGGGAACGGCTAAAACTATCGCTATTCTTTCAAATGGGAGAACAACATTGTACTGTTGCATGGGTCCCCGAGATCTTTAGCCGGTAGCACAAATGTCGCATTGTCGGCACCAGTTTTTAACGTCTTCATGATAGTGGACTCATTAAAAACGATCTCGAATTTTGTTCAAAGTCTTGATAACTCCAAAATGTGTCCCTGAAGTTCCGTCATGTATTTCTTTTAATACACATCTTCTACTCGATTTTTCGGAATAACTAGTTGGCTCTTCGTAGTTTTCTCATCGGCACTTTCCCAAACTCTTTCCAGTAAACCATTTTCTACGGCCAGAGAGTTCCATTGAGCCCACAACGCGTTGTAAATTAAACTCTTGTTCGACACTTCCCTCCATTTTGGCCTACATTCATCATTTTCTTTAAGATGTAGAATTTGCCCAATGTCCTGGTCTGCCTCTTGATCTTCTCTAATTTGTTTGGTAGTCCATTTGTCATCAACGATCAGACCCGTTCTTCTCACAGCTGGACGGCTGGACCAGTGTTTTTCTCATGCATGTTTCCAGGTCGATGTTTAGGGCTGGCATCTCTAGATCTCCAAAAGCGTTGGGAACGATACCTAGATGGAGAGGACATCCTTAGTCTAGAATCCCATTGCATATGTCGAAGCTTTTGGCACCGGTAACATTTTACCCGGTGTTGGCGTTTGTTTGGAGTCGTTTCCCATTTGTTTCATTTCTAGTACTAGTTTCTCCATTTTCTCCATGAACTTACTCATTACAGTCTCGGAGCTACCATCTTCTTTTGACGATTGTTAATCCTTTGGGTCTTCAATGGTTACTGCTCGTATTCTGGGTAGTGAGGCACCAAAGATTGCTTCCAGTTCCAATGCTCGGACAAGCGCTTCGCTACATTTTCTGAACTTGGACATTTTCAGGTTTTCTTGGAATCTCTGAGACCATCAATAAACGCAGATACTGCCATCTATTTCTGCATGTCTTCCCCAGCTGCAGGAAACGCCAAACTCACTAGCCTTTCAACTTCCGATTCGAATTCTTGTAAACTCTCGCCGGGTTTTTGAATTCTTGATTTACTTGAGTTCTAAATACTTCTTGTCTGTAATATCCGTAATCTTTTGTTCTAGGCTAGCGACAAATCCGTATATGGTTTGAAATATTTTCTGTAGTTGTCCAAGGTCTTCTTGCCGTTATTTTTGTCCCTGGCCTCTTCGTCTTGTTTTTCTTGTTGTCGTTTAGCTTCTTCTTCTTTTTTTTTGTCGCCTGGCCTCTTCGTCTTGTTTTTCTTGTTGTCGTTCCGCTTCTTCTTGTTGTTTTGTTTTCTTTCTCTGGCCTCTTCGTCTTGTTTTTCTTGTTGTCGTTTAGCTTCTTCTTCTTCTTGTTTTTCTTTTTGTCGTCTAGCCTCTTTGTCTTGTTTTTTTTTTGTTGTCGTTTGGTTGGAAGTTGAAACAAAGCTTCTGTATACGAATTTCGGATTCTACGCACAAATTTTAGGCTTTGAGCAGAATCATGACAGGTCATTGTACGGTTTTTTGCTGTGTTGGAACAAAGCTTGGGTACCTATATTATTTCATCAAGGCTTAATTTCATTGTCGAGAATTCTAGTCATAGTCACATACCGGTTCTATGACGATTCTTGTTATTTCAAGCCTCAGGAGGCTGAGACTTTGAGTTAGGCCAAGGGCTATCTCTGTTATTTTAGGCCACACGGGACTTCTAGACATATTTCATGTACAATGTCCTATACCTATTCTCAACTGTTTTGAAAATATTGACAGTTGAAAATTAACTTTTTTGCAACTTTGACAGGTTGTAAACCTAAACGTTAAAATTTAAGTGCAAAACCCAACCCATCGTAAGTTCTTAGGCGTTTTCTCGCGGGGCGAATGGTTCGAACTACGGTTTAAACCAATTTGTAGATGACGTCATCACTTGTGAACGCGAGAAAATTGAAGGTTTGAACCACAGTCTTATGTCAACGGAGAACAAGCCATAAGTCCGGTTCGAACTTTTTTGAACCAGGTTCAATGTGACGTCACTGGTTCAACGCAAGAATGAACAGGTTCGAACCTAATTGAACCGGGTCGAACCAGTTCCACCGCGAGAAAACAGCTCTTTAGTTTTTCAAACTATTATTTGACACCAACGTCAGAGGCGCCGACTTTTGAAAGTCCTCATAGGTGCACGATATTAATCTCATAAATTTGGTAGTAGGGGCGGGGGAGGCTCGCTTCATGCGCCGCCGGAGGCGAAATATTTTCTCTACGAGCGTGCGAAAGGTGCTTCTTTCTGCACGCATTTTAGGCCATGAAAATATCACTTTTCCCTACTAGTGCGAAAAGTGAAATAATTATGAAATGTTAAGTCACCCTGTTACTTTCATGTCCTAAAATGCGTGCGGAAAACTACTTTTTTGCACGGTCGTTAAAAAATAACGTTTCTTAATCATGCGGAAAGTATCTTTTTCTCATTTAATTGCTACGCACACGCCCTAATTGACGTTTTGTTTTATTTTAGCCGCCACTGTCTACTGTCAGACTGTCCCTGTCACAGTCAACCAATGTCAACCTTAGCATGAGCGAAGGCAATATTATAAATGTTCCGATCAAAAAGATGATTTCGATATTTTTTTGAATATAGCGCCAGACTTCCTCAGTGGCGGGTCTATTATAGCACCATTCTGGGGGGTAGAGCTTCTCAACCAGTGGCGGCTTGTGGTCTATACTTGAAGTAGGACATAAAGTCTGTTTTTTTTAAAAAGATAATTCCCCAAGTCAACAATTTAGTAACTATGTTGGCAACACAAGCCTTTTCTACATACAAAATTTGAAAGCATTGACAACTTGACATTGTATTGCCAACATAATGTCATTTTGACTTTTATCTTAAAAAAAACAGGCTTTAGGACCCAGTAAGTGAAGCCATTTTTATGTAGGCATAACAACTTTTGTACTCTGCCGAGTGCCGGTAGAGGGTCGAGTACAAGGACTTGTGTTTTTAAAATAATTAAAATTTTCTTGGGCCTCTCTTGGGGTAATCGGTAATCACCCCCTTTATCCTTCCCATCCTTCCCCTCGTGTATCCGCCACTGGACATCCCATTGTGCGCGGGACTGTCTCGATTATTATCAAAGAATAGAGATGGAGAATAGCAACATAAAGTAATAGAGCATAGAACTAGAACTGACCACGAATAACGAAACGACAGAATACTAATAGGTACCACATGCACAGGGTGTCAATTTGAAAACTTCCCATTCCTATTATCTCGGAGTAGAAAAATTTTCGAGAAAATCCCTGAAACACGTCAACTATAATTTGAAGGGGGATGAGCTTTTATGTAAAATTCACCTTCCCTCTTTCAACCCCCCAGCCCCCAGAGCCACCCCCTAGAACATTTAAAATATGAAGGGGGGTCAAGTGATACATCATTTTGCAGGGTTTTTAATTCCATACAGTTTGGTACTAGATTTTAGTCCCTAAGTTCAACTGTTTTGAAAATATTGACAGTTGAAAATTGACTTTTTTGCAACTTTGACAGGCTGTAAAACCTAAACGGATAATTTTAGAGGAAAACCGATCTTACATTCTTATCTTAGATTTTCATAAACTATCATTTGACAGCAACTTCGAATTTAATCCACGATCAAAAATTCCGGTTGAAAATTTAATCTCCGGTTAAATTCAAAAATGGTGCCAAATGATAGCTTATGAAAATCTAAGATAAGAATGTAAGATCGGTTTTCCTCTAAAATTGTCAACGCAATGTCAAAAAAATACGAATTTCGCAGTTATGAGTACTAGGCTTAAAACAGGAAAAGTTGACTTACGAAATATTTCGGCAACAATTTCGTAAGTAATTTCGTAAAGAAACTTTGCCGTGTAAAACGGCTCTTAGGTAATCCTTCCCTAATTTTGTAGTTCTTGAATAGCAAGGATAATACTCATTACTACTACAGGATAGCCTATCCTCATAAGGCCTGTCTGGAACAATTCTGAAGCCCCCTCCACGCCAAATCACCAGTTGTGACGTAGAAGTATGTCCTTTCTCGCCTTGACGTAGGCTGTTTGCACCACAGGGTTATGATTCCGCGGGCTTTTGCTTTATGCATACTTGGTTTTATTACATTAGTTAACATTAAACAATTCTTGTTTAGATCTCGTTGTCACCTTCCTCTCTGCCTATTATGTTAATCAGAATTAAATACTATTTTTCATCATAAATTCCAAACTACGACCGCTAGTGCAAACAGCTGACGACTTAGTTATGACGTCAGAAATGGTGACACACCAATATGGCGGCGATTACGAAGAACGAGGCCGATAAGCAATCCTTAGTAGTGTGTATTATCCTTGCTTGAACAGCGTCCCTGTTACGTCAATTTCTAAACTGTCAAATCATAGAAATATCAAAATTGTCTTATCATTCTTATCAAAAACATGTCAACTTTTCAAAACAACATTAGAGTCATTAAACATTAACCAATAACAAAGGTACATACCAAACCAAGTACCAAGTTTACCTGGCATATGGCTATAGCATAATTTTGTGTTAGATTATTATTGTCCCACCACCCCAGTACCCCAACCCGAACCTTGGCTGGTGATCTGTCAGGTCAGAAATAAACACCATACACAACACAACATAAGAGATATTTTTTTTGCAATTATCAACAATTGCTGTCGCATAGTAGTGCTCAAAGTGAACATCAAAATTGAACATCTTTGCAAATAAAAACAATTCCTAAACATCAGAACAATTGATATATTATATTGACCTAGAATTCTAGCGCCATATATTATGGAATATCTATCATTCATACCTACATAGTAATGTTATTATTGTTGTCCCAATGAATAAATGCTGAGCTAGCAGCTAGCAGATTAAAACGAAATTCGAGGAATTACTTACTCATGATAATGTTTTAAATAATTATTGCGAAAATTGTGCTGCAGTCCTGAAACTGATGTCCACAGGAACCAGTTTATACCAAACTCGACCAGACGATTCTGATAAACTATTGAAGCAACTATTGGAATATGTGCAACGCTGTCAAAGAAGGTAAGTTTTTCCAGTTAAAAAAAAAACATGGAATTTGTTTCAAATTTATTTAAGAAAAAGAGAGGAGATGAATGTGTATTTGGTGATTTTTCTTATTAAAGTGGAGGCTCGAGTGCAGAGTAATAAAATTGTTGCTGTACCTAAGAATTTTTTAATCCCCCTGTAATAACCAAGGTTATAACCTTTTTTTAGTTTGGTTGGGATTGGGTGTTTGACCGCAAATAGTTCCAAAACTATGTTTGCTCCATTATGACTATTTCACCCTAGGCAATCTTCAGTGCTCGTACCAGTCAACGAAATAAAATATATCAAATAAACTAATAAACAGATCCACTTTGAAATTTTTAGGACTATATACCTATGCTATGTGAAATATCAAATATAATTTTTTTTAAGTGGAATGAATCATCAAACAAACTCTTGATGTCTTGATTTTAAATTTTCACATTTTACACTTTTCTTTCAAAATTCTCAGTTTTTTGCACTTTGTTTCCAGCTCGGTTTCCAGCAAAGATACTTATGTGAAAATCAAGGGGTCAACCACTTCCCGAAATACTTGTACACTTGGACCGAATTATCTCCGGAATACTTCAAAGTACCTAGAAATACTTTGAAGTACCTCGAAATACCAGGTATTCCCGTCGAATTACGCGAAATTCCATGGAATTACCATCGAATTACGCGAAATACCCTTGAATTACCATGCGAAGTCCCGCAATACTTCTAAAAAATTTATCGCTGAAAACGATTCTTCTTGCAAATCGCAGTGAAGTATTTTTCAAGGTATTTTTGCTTGGATTTTTGTGTCTGTCTTTTGATATGATGGATTTTATTTGGACACACAGGATAGACAATTAAATCAATAGTGATGCAGTTAGTTCTACAATGTTCTTAGATACAGGGTCATCCAACGAGGACTGAACACGGGCAATTTTTGACTTTTCCTGTATAGACAATTGGAATATATTTTTTTTCTGGAGAATTCAAAAATAGTACCAAAAAATCGTTTAAACCAAAAACCAAAGAGTTACGCCATGGATGAACTGTTTCTTAAATAGAACGCCGTGTTTTTTTGTATGATTTTTGGAAAAGTCTCATTTTTCACGTCTATTCTGTTGAACATACATATTTGATATTCCGACTGCTGTTTTTATTTTAATGTTTCATGCTCAATCATTTCAGCTAGACCTGTTGGATTTAATTGGTTCATAGGTGATAAAAGTAGGTATAATCTTTCTTTGTATTCTGTTGCCATGTATTAAACAGGTAAACAAAAATCTTGACGAAAATTAATAGGAATAAAACAATAAAATAAAATAAAAACAGCTATCGGAATATCAAATATTTTCAACAGAAAAAAATGCAACTTCTCCGAAAATCATACAAAAAACAGATGTCTATCAACTTAGCGAGACAACTTCGAAAAATCGATTTTCCATTATGCCAAGAATTTGCCGCTTTTTTGCCGCTAATTAAATGTGGAATTAAAAAATTTGCCGCTCTTTTGGTTTTTTCTTAATTACGTGTTTTGCTAACTTGATGTCAAGATAGCGAGACAACATCACTAAATATGTCAGCAGTAAAAAATTAGGTAGATGAAAATTTGCCGTTTTTTTGCCGCTAATTAGTTGTGTAAACCAAAAATTTGCCGGTTCTTTTTTTTCCATAAATAATCAAGTTTGAAAAAAAAATCATTGTTTCGCTAACTTGACGTCAAGTTAGCGAGACATTATCACTAAAAATGTCGGTAGTGAAAAATTGAATGAATGGAAATTTGCCGTTTTTTGCCGCTAATTAGTTGTGAAAACCAAAAATTTGTCGCTTCTTTTTTTTACAAAAAATCAAGTTTGAAAAAAAAATCATGTGTTTCGCTAACTTGACGTCAAGTTAGCGAAACAATATCACTAAAAATGTCGGTAGTGAAAAATTGAATGAATGGAAATTTGCCGTTTTTCTGCCGCTAATTAGATGTGAAAACTAAAAATTTGCCGCTACCTTTTTTTTCATAAGAAAATCGTGTTCGAAAATAAAATAATGTTTTGCTAATTTAACGTAAAGTTAGCGAGATCAATAAAAATGTCGGTAGTGATAAATTGAGTGAGTGAAAAATATCGCGTTTGAAAAAAATATCATGTGTTTCGCTAAGTTGACATCAAGTGAGCAAAACAGTACCTATGTATCATTAAAAATGTCGGTAGAGAAAAATTGAGTGGTAGAGAAAAGCTGTGGAAATTTGCCGCTTTTTGCCGCTAATTAAATGTGAAAACCCAAAAATTTGCCGCTCTTTTTCTCCATGAAAAAATCGTGTTTGAAAAAAACTTGTGTTTCGCAAGCTTGCCGTTAAGTTAGACCGACATCATCTCAAAAACGAAGGGCACTATAAAATTAGGTGAGTAAAAGGGTGTTCTGTTATAAATGATCTCCCACCCTTGATTTTTATGCACCCTGTAAATATATTTTGATTAGTGAAACTCAACATTTGTTAGAACAAATATTTATTTCTAAATTTTTTGAGAATAGTTTTTCAGTTTTTTTTTTCTTTAGCTTAGGAAAACTCTATTGGAGGCCTTATAGGTTTCAAAAATCAGAAAGCGAAATATCGTGTGCTCATTTATACAGAAAATAAAATAAAATTAGAAATAAAATTAAATTGGGATAAAATGGAAATTATCGATAATTTTTGGCAAATTTTCCCGAATGCATTTTTAGTTGAAAAAAAGCACGAAGGACGAGTGCCTTTTCCAGTTAAAAATGCATGGGAGCAAATTTCTCAAAAATTATAGATACCTATATTTCTATTGCTCGAGTTGTATTTTATGAGAGAATTTCATGAATCAAAAATATAAATTTTTAGTATATCCTCGTAAGTATAAAATGTCACCAATCAGAAAAAATGTCAAATGCCACCCGTTAGTAAGCAATTATCCAATCCGATAATCCTGCACTAGTACAAATTATCACGTAATCGTAATCTGATTGGTTGAAATCAACAATTAAAAAATGCCAGTTTATGCATGGGATCTGTGTCATTTGCGCGACAACCGTTTGCGCGAGGGAGAAAAGCGCGATACGAAAAGCGTGAGTGACAAAATCACGACGGAACAAAAACGCGACAGGACAAATGCGCGATGGACAAAAACGCGACTGGATAGAAGCGCGAGGAACAAAAGCGTGAGGGACAAAAGCGCACGACGGCGCAAAAACGCGACTGGATAAAAGCGCGAGCGACAAAGCGCGAGGGGACAAAAGCGCGACAGAACAAAAACGCGACTGGATAAAGCGCGATTGGCCAAGAACGCGAAGTGCCTTACTACGAGAACTGAAGATCCTTTGCCAAAATACAAGATATTTTCGGTGGCTCCGGTTCAAAAGAACGATATTTAAAATAGCAACATCAAAAAGGCGATATGATGTTAATGCGATATATCAAAATAGCGACATTTGGAACAACGATATTCAAAATAGCGACATCTAAAAAAACAGCAACATATCAAAAGAGCGACATATGTAAAGAACGAGATTTAGAACAGTGACAAATTAAAAGAGCGACATTTAGGTACAACGACGACCTCTGAGCAAAAGAGGGAAACATCAAATTGTTCCAATATTAATCAAAATTATGTACAGGGTGATCTATTATAAATGTAACCCCCTGCTAACTTTTTCATTTGACGTTTTTGACAGAAGTGTCAAATACAAAAGTTTCAAGAAATGGCATTTTTTAATTGTTGATTTCAACCAATCAGATTACGATTACGTGATAATTTGTACTAGTGCAGGATTATCGGATTGGATAATTGCTTACTAACGGGTGGCATTTGACATTTTTTCTGATTGGTGACATTTTATACTTACGAGGATATACTAAAAATTTATATTTTTGATTCATGAAATTCTCTCATAAAATACAATACTCGAGCAATAGAAATAAGGTATCTATAACTTTTGAGAAATTTGCTCCCATGCATTTTTAACTGGAAAAGGCACTCGTCCTTCGTGCTTTTATTCAACTAAAAATGCATTCGGGAAAATTTGCCAAAAATTATCGATAATTTCCATTTTATCCCAATTTAATTTTATTTCTAATTTTATTTTATTTCCTGTATAAATGAGCACACGATATTTCGCTTTCTGATTTTTGAAACCTATAAGGCCTCCAATAGAGTTTTCCTAAGCTAAAGAAAAAAAAACACTGAAAAACTATTCTCAAAAAATTTAGAAATAAATATTTGTTCCAACAAATGTTGAGTTTCACTAATTAAAATATACTTACAGGGTGCATAAAAATCAAGGGTGGGAGATCATTTATAACGGAACACCCTTTTACTCACCTAATTTTATAGTGCCCTTCGTTTTTGAGATGATGTCGGTCTAACTTAACGGCAAGCTTGCGAAACACAAGTTTTTTTCAAACACGATTTTTTCATGGAGAAAAAGAGCGGCAAATTTTTGGGTTTTCACATTTAATTAGCGGCAAAAAGCGGCAAATTTCCACAGCTTTTCTCTACCACTCAATTTTTCTCTACCACTCAATTTTTCTCTACCGACATTTTTAATGATACATAGGTAGGTACTGTTTTGCTCACTTGATGTCAACTTAGCGAAACACATGATATTTTTTTCAAACGCGATATTTTTCACTCACTCAATTTATCACTACCGACATTTTTAATGATCTCGCTAACTTTACGTTAAATTAGCAAAACATTATTTTATTTTCGAACACGATTTTCTTATGAAAAAAAAGGTAGCGGCAAATTTTTGGTTTACACAACTAATTAGCGGCAAAAAAACGGCAAATTTTCATCTACCTAATTTTTTACTGCTGACATATTTAGTGATGTTGTCTCGCTATCTTGACGTCAAGTTAGCAAAACACGTAATTAAGAAAAAACCAAAAGAGCGGCAAAATTTTTAATTCCACATTTAATTAGCGGCAAATTCTTGGCATAACGGAAAATCGATTTTCCGAAGTTGTCTCGCTAACTTGATAGACATAAAAAACAGGGTGTTTCATTTAAAAAACAGCTCATCCATGGCGTAAGTAACTCTCGAGGTAACTCTTTGGTTTTTGGCTCAAAGAATTTTTTGGTACCATTTTTCAGTTCTCCAGAGAAAAAATTCCAATTGGCTATTTTGAATTTTCTCAAAAATACAGGGAAAGTTAAAAATAATCCTCTCCTCATTGGATGACCCTTTACTATTAGGGCGCGTTCTTTTATTCAGCAATGGATCCATCTGCTTCCAGCATTATGAGACAGACATTCCAATTTTCTATGAGCTAGACAAAGAAAGGCTGATTACCGATGGATCCACCGCTGAATAAAAGAAAGCGCCCTTAACTAACTGACATTGATTACTAATACATATCAGGTATATACTTAGTATATATTTCCATTTGTTTCAATTAATCTGCAGTAAATTCAAAGTATGTCAACTAATTTAGCCAGTTCGAAGATGGACTATAATTTTCATTCCAGAATATTCCAATTTTAATTGATAAAGAATTAATTGTTCTCGGTACATAAAAAGAAAACTACTTTTAAATAGGTAGCTCGAAATACCTCGGCTCACCGCGAAATACTTCGAATTTTTCGAATTACCTCGAAGTACTTCAAATTACCTCGGAATACTTCGAATTACCTTCCTCCAAATACTTACTTCGAAGTACTCGGCAATTCCACAAAAAACTAGGTTCAAATTACCTCCACCGAAATACTTTGAATTTCGCGAAATACCGACATTTTTGCAATACGTGATTTTTACAGAGTGGTTGACCTCTCGGTGAAAATTGTAAAAAAAAAACTTTATACTGGACTTGCTAAATTGAAAAAATTGGTATTGGTATATAGTATATGGCATACCTTGTATTTATTTTCTAGAAGAAAGTTCTTCCAGAAAATGGATTTATACATATCTAATAGAATAAGTGAGTAATAAATAAATTTATCGAATTAGTTTTTTTGTATTATGCAATGGTCCATAGTCCATAGAAAAAGTTAAAGTATATAGATAACCCAATCAAACCCTCATAACAAAGTCTGCAAACAAACAACACATACAATACACTCAGCTAAAAAACCTTTCAAATTGGCGGAGATTCTTTACATTTCCACTTAAAATTTTATTGTTATTTTCTAGGTTATTTTTGAGCAATTTCTAACTTCATCTGGCAGTAAATTGTAAAATTGAGAATTAGAACCCAGATAATTTATATTTCTTAGATGAAGACTCTTGGTAGTGTAATTTGCCTGTCGCACTATTATAAGCGTCTTCTTATTTAAAAGTTCTATTATTAAATAGAATTTATAAATGAGTCTGCAAACTTTGTTGGTGGAAACATAATCAAATTGCAGTTGCCATTTACAAAATTCATTAATTATAATTCCAAGTTATTTTGTGTATGAAGTTTCTCTAATACAATGATTATCCATGGAAATGGAATCATATTTGTGGCCTGTTTGCACCAGTAAGTAAAAAAAATATGTAGTTTGTTTTGGCTAAGTTTAATGTTAGATAATATGTTCAAGGCCAGTTCCTTATTTTCGCTAAACTATTTACGGTTTTATTCCTTACGTTGTCCCAGGTATCTCCTGAGATAACAAGGACCTTAAAACCCAGAGTTAAACATTTTTTTTTTTTCACTTTAAATTACTGACGACTTCAGTTATTAGTCTATGCATGGCGTCCTTGGTACTACATGCCCCAAGAAATCCAATTTGGTTTGTAGATAACACATAATTGATTTTTAAAAAGCTAATTAGTCTAATTTTTATACATTTTTCACAAAGTTTTGCAAAATTACTGCTAAGGCTTACAGGTTGCTAATTATTTATAGAGGTCTAGCCTTCTTGTTATCTGATCTGAACTAATTCCTTCCCCCAAAAAATATGTAACATAAAAAAACACCACACAAATAACATAGATTGGTTTAACAATAATTTAAAAAATATGCGGGAACACTAAATGACACCTACAAGCATTTCCCAAATGACCAACTTAAATCTTATACTTATCCAAAGCTACAGAAAGGATTACTAAACAGCTATAAAAAATTCAAAGATCCAATACAATGATAGAAAAATTCAAAATGCAGTTAATCCAGGCAGGTGCATGTGGGAGATAATAAATGAGCTGAGAGGTAAACCCCAAAAATCTGTAAATGATGAGACGGGCATTACAGCCTCAGAATGCAATGATTACTTTGTAAATATAGCAGTCGAATTGCAAAACAAAATACCCAATGAAAGCATTAATCCTCTAGCAAATCTGCAAAACTCAAATATCAATATAACAGGGCAGCAATTCTTTTTCAAGGAGGTTACATTCTGTGAGGTTCGGGAGGTGATTGATAGGCTCAAAAATAAAACAAGCAAAGATATTTACAACTTAAATATTAACCTAATGAAGGGTGTCAAGAACCTGTTGCTGATACCCCTTACAAAGCTTATAAATCTTTGCATAAGAGAAGATACCTTTCCGGACTGCATGAAAATACCTAGGGTAACTCCTAAAGAGGGTGAATCGAGTGATCCGGGAAACTACAGGCCTATTTCTCTTTTACCTGTTCTTTCCAAAATCATTGAAAAATGTCTTACAAACCTAATAACAAACTATCTTGAAACCTCGCTTGAAACCAACAAAATATTAAGCCCAAGCCAGTTTGGTTTTAGAGGGTGCAAAAATACCACTTTGGCAATCCTAAGACTAGTAGGAAACATAATGGAGGGTTTTGATTGAAGACTCACAACACAAAGTCTCAATCTTTTGTCACCTAAACAAGGCCTTTGACTGTGCCTCCCATGACATTGTACTTGACAAATTACCTTTTTATCATTTTTCACCTCAAAGCATAAATCACGAACTGCCAAACATAGCGAAAACAGAAAAAATCTTCAATTTTGCACATGACACAACAGGAAAAGTCAAACACACCGACATACAGGCAGCAACCGTCATGGTTTTCAACTAACAAACTCTTCTTGAATGAAGCCAAAACCAAAAACTATGTTTTTTCATAAAAAGAACAGAGCCAATGACAGATAGTGTCGTATTCCTTGGGGTTGCTCTCGACCAAAAATTATTGTGGGATGCTCACATTGAGATGACTACAAAAAAAATGGGTAAAAATGCTTTTGTTTGAAGGAATTTGTCAATGTATGTCTTCAAAAATTCTTAAACAATCCTACTTTGCTCGCATCTTAGTTATGCATTGCTCGTTTGGGGCCACTCTAGTCGTGCGCAAGGGGTTTTTGCTATGCAGACGTGCTGTGAGAATTGTTGCGGGATTGGATTACAGAGAAGATGTAAGACAGGCATTTATTACTAACAGAATCTTGACTTTGCCATGTGAGTATATTCTTCAAAATTTAATCTATGTTAAAGACCATCATAGCGGGTATATCTGCCACAGTGCAACCAATCTTCCACTGGTTACAAAGGTGCCAGAATGGACCTGGGTTCCATGCAGTCACATTTTTTGATAGACTTCCTGAGCCCCTGAAAACTAAGGAAATCTCAATTTAAAAAGAAAGTAAAGGATTTTTAATTTAAGGCTTTTTATTCTCTATAAGAATTTACCAACCTCACACTTAGCTGAGGTATTAGCAATTGTGCCATTTTACCCCTTAATCAGTTTTTATTCTTAAAATTTGTAAAATTTGTTAAGGTAAATGTTTATTTAATGTAATTTTTAACTTGTGTTTTAAACCATTTTAAACTAGTTTAGTATTTAAATTAAAATTTATCAGTATTTTTATTGATAAGTGTAAACACATGAGTGTAATTAGCACAAATAAATTGATTTGATTTGATGTCTCATCTCAACAAATAAATAAATGTTTTATTGACCCAACTAGAAAAGCTGTTAATTTATACATGAAGGAAAACTTTGAGATGTTCCACACAATATTGTTTTCCTATACTTACTTGCCGGACTTGTTTTACATAGGAATCAAGCTTCTCATTGGCTACTATTCCAGCATTATTACACACATAAACTTGATTTGAAAGTTTGTCATAAGACACGGATTACCCGATTCTAATTCCCAATTTTCAAATGCTGTTCCCTATACCTAAGACATCTCTGATGGAATTAAGTAGGTAATCCAGGCCTTAGCCTTTTAGATACAGATTAAAAAAACAAATTTTTTCAAACATAAAAATTTAATAACAAATTATAAGCTATTATAAACATAATATATAAATAGTTTCTTAATTAAAATTTGCATTTTTAGTATAGGCCTTGGTATAGGCATAGCTTATAAAGGCCCACTTGATTATTATAAAAACAAACAATAACTAAAATGTACAATATTTAAGTTATTGGAAAACATGTATGTGCATAATAGACAAAAATATGACTAACATTGTATGCTCAAGAATATAGGCAGCAGAACCTAAAAAAAATATATATTTTGAAAGAATTGTTGAAAATGTAAAAAAAAACTTACTCGTACAAGAACCTAATTTTTCGACATATTCTGATCTGCACTTGCATTTACCCAAAATACATTCTAGCCTGCTTTCTTGGTCTATGCTTTTACAATCAGTGTTAAACTGGCACGCCTCATCCAAAACTAGAAAAAGTTAAGTCATTTTAAAGCAATGCAGGCAGCTATCAGGACAATTTAGGTACTAAACAAATTTTTTTACATGCCTTACAATCTCCTCATTGCAATCAAAATACTTACGTATATCTCTGATACATATCCCCTTGGCCAATTTGAACTTGTACATATCTTCACACATACAAAATCCTTGTTTGCAAATGGCTGGTCCAAATTTGGTAATACACTGGATATCTTCGTAGCACGGATCGTTAATTCTATTAGCTATTTCCAAACATTTTGTAGCAGCAGAGTTAGGCACGTAGCCTTCTTTGCAAATACATTCTCCATCCATGCATTTGGCAAAGGGAGTTATTGTGCATTCGCCTGGGTGGTTGCATTTTTGACCTAAAGCTATTGTATAATAGCAAAACAATATTTTTATTAAAAATGCTTGTATAATGTCTAAGATGAAAGAAATTTTTCAATTATTTTGAATGTTTTGAAAATGTGTAGTTATTTGAATCGATTGAGCCAATACTTGATAAAAGTTTAAATTTAAATCCCTGCTTGGAAAAAGTAAAATTAATTTTTACTCTATTTTCGATACAGTAATGACACAGGTCGCAGGTTTTACCTGCTCGTAGGCTCTTGTAATGTAAGTATTTTGACTTTTCCTTTTTCCAACCAAGGATCGTGTAGTTATATTTTTAGGAACCGTTCTTACCAATATCCTCAAAGCAAGTGCCGTTAAACTGATGTGTTTTCTCTTGACAGGCACATTTTTCATTTTTGCAAATCGTATGCGGTATTTTTGTGAAACACTGTACTCTGTCCTCACAGTCACTGCCCAAACCATCAGCGACTGCAATAAAATTGAAAAAAAGAAAATAAATAAAAAATGAAATTCCACTTGAAATTATTTTAAATTTATAGCACTTTATTTTGTAAAGTAGAAAAACTGATAAAATGACTTAGCATTTACGGAATTGATTTTGTGAGTAAAAAGTTTGAATCGATAAGGTGAATTAAAAAAAAAAACAATGGAGATACAAGAAAATCACGTTTAAAACTACCCATATGTGGTCCTCAATGTGGTCTTAATAATATACTTTATTAAAAAAAATCTCTTACCTTTTAAACACGTTCTAACATCCGTACTTCCTACTCTTCCATCCTCGCATTTGCATTTTCCATCTTCACATACAGAATGTTTGATGTTACAGTCCGCTTCTATCTTGCAATTTTCTCCCAGTTTCGTGACTTTTGTTTGCAATTTTTCTTCGCAAAATTTACTACCGTTACATTGGCAAAAATGATTAATACACACGGCATTTTCAAGACTTTCGCAATCGGAGTCGCTCATGCAAGGATTGAAAGCTAAAAGAAATACAAATTGAAAAATAATTATTACCATGATTCATTAAAAATATCGTTTTCCTTATGTACAGGGTTTTCCTGTATATTTTTGCACCCTACCTGCAGCCTTTACCTCTACAGGTAGATGATAAGTGTGAATACGTTGTATAAAGTTGCGCAGTTTCAGCTAAATTTTTGGAATCCATCTTCAAATTTATTTTCGGAAATTTTAAATTTTGCGTACTTCCAACTTTTTTCGAATGGAAAGCCCTATATTTGATTCTATATTTTTGAAGAGCATAATTTTCCGATTTCAAGAATATATAGTTTGCCGGTTGAGCCGTCTCCAACATATTTGGCTCTAAAAAGTTCAAAAATACTGTCAGAGAACCAAGTGCCTCAAATTTCAGGCAGAAGGATAGTATTTTTACAATTTTTGGAGCCAAATATGTTGGAGACGGCTTCACCAAATAGTGAAACTATATACCTATTTTTGGAATCGGAAAATTGTGCTCTTCAAGAATATAGACTCAAATATAGGGCATTCCATTTGAAAAAAGTTGAAAGTTCGCAAAATTTCAAATTTCTGTTTTTTTTTTTCTGACGATGGATTCTAAAAATTCAGCTAAAACTGCACAACTTTTGTATTTACACCTATCATCTACCTGTAAAGGTATATAAAGGCTGCAGGTGGGGTGCAAAAACATAGGAAAAACCCTGTACTTCTGCTTACCTGGTTGATTGGCTGTGGCTGATAAAATCAGCTCAGAACCACATGAAAATTGTAAATTAATTAAACATAAAATAGAAAATAAATAATTGAACATCTTGTTCATTTTTATAAAAAAAATTGATTTAAAATAAAATGCAGACAAAATTTATGTCTACTCTGAAAGGACAGAAGTTTAACACTGATACTGATTCTACTGCAAAACTGATAATTTATTCTCCAATTTCGATTGGTATTTCTTGAAAAAACTCGTTGTTTATCATTGGGCGAATTTTTTCTATAAACTTGCCCTGGGTGTTAATGTGTTTGGTGCATTTAAACAGCTTAAACTCAAAATATTGAAGCTACACTAATATTTTTACATAGGTACATTATTTTATAGTTTTCCAAATAAAATTTCAATTCCCTAAATATTTTCTTTGAAGTTTTAAATTTAGATTGTTTAAATGCTCTTGAATGTAATTTCAAACGTTCTTGCTATGTTTTGAATAGGAGATTTTACAACAATCAAAACTTGGGTTTTTAAACTTTGCTTAGCGACGAATTGATTATCCTAAATTTCTCATGGGCTAGAAATTTTGTTCACTGAAGCTGTCCTCTCTTTCCAATATTAATTATGAGTATTAATTAATTAATAATTATACTTGGAGCTAAATAATCCTAGCCTGCTTTTAGTGTTTTGAAAGAGGGCAGCAATAGATTACACAGTTAAGTTGCGTAAAAGGATATCCCTCTTTGATTTAATGTGTTCTAGAGATAGTATAAATTGGTTATCTGTTCCGGGTAAAATATTCTTTCCCATTTTCTTGTCTTGTACGATTGTATACACTAGACATTGATACAGTAGTACAGTGTGTCTAAGATAAGGGTGGGATAGCATTAGGATCTGGAGAAGGGTTGGAGTTTGATGAAAACATTTTTTTTTTCACTTTTTAGTAATTTCCTACCAAAATTCTCTTCTCTGTCTCTCTCTGGCACATTAAGTTCTCATGGAAAGTGCCAATAATATAAATCTTCCAAATAAGTGCAATACGTCATTGGTTTTGGGACATTAGAAGCTTAAAAAATCTGAAATAAAAAATAATGGTCCGGATTTGGAAAAATGAAGTCGATGATGGTGACCCAAAGATGAAACGTCAAATTTAAAAATTGATGTCATCTTGTAGAATAGGAAATGTGGTAACGATGAAGTGACATTTATTTTGAAATATCTCCTCAAATAAGCTCAATAAAAAATAAATTCGATTTTGCAAAATTTCGGTTTTTTCCGGATATGTCCGGAAGTGTTTGGAATTTTCCAAATGTCAAAGTATCATTTTATTGAGCGTTAAATTGCGCAGCTTTTTCCCAATCTAACCAATACTGTAACTCCAACCGTTCTCCAGATCGTAATGCTATGACATCCTTATCTTGGACACACTGTATACAGGTTTGTCGTTAAGTATATGGAAACGTTCTACTATTTTAAAAACGACGGGGGTTATTCGTGAAAACCGATTCACCAGAAATATTTTTAATGTTGCCAAGTTCATCTAGATTTTGTAGATATTTCATGTGAGCCCCCCGAGGGGGTAACAACTGGTGGCAATACATGTACAAATTGTATAGCATTACAATACATTACTTGCGCATTACGACGCATTACTGGAATTACGCTGGAATTACGGCATTACGGTGGCATTACTCGGTATTACCAAGAATTACGCTGGCATTACAAGGCATTAGCTACGAATATGGCGGAATTACGCTTGCATTCAATGGAATTATGGTTGATCTAGCGGTTGATTTTTAAGGTTTCAATGTACCGGGAGTTTTTTTTATCTTTGATATCAATTTGATCACCTGTAACTTTTTTGTTTTTGAAGTTATCAAGATAAACAAAAAAATAAAATGTAGGGTTAGTAGCCAAGTTTTTTTTTCAAGTTACACGTAAAACAAAACACTATCAACTTTTTGAGATATTATAAGCATACATTATATTTTTTCAAATGGAAAACCCTGTATATTATATGTGTGTTCGATAGAATATCTTATGCTATCGAATGTATGCTTATATGTCAAAAAGTTGATAGTGTTTTGTTTTATGTGTAACTTGAAAAAAAACTTGGCTACTAACCCTACATTTTTTTTTTGTTTACCTTGATAACTTCAAAAACAAAAAAGTTACAGGTGATCAAAATGATATCAAAGATAAAAAAAACACCCGGTACATACAATAATTGTATGTAGGTATCTAATGAGGTATTGATTGAGCATGTATTATTTTAACCCTCAAATTTTCCAAACATCCACTGGAAGATCATATTCATATTACTTACTCCAATATTTAAAATAATTTTGGGAAAGTTTGTGTATCTATAAAATTGAAATTATTTTCACATAAGTACAGGGTGAATAAAAAAAAAGTTACAGCAAAATATGGATTTGTTTTAAACGGGACGCCCTATATATTATTATCATTTTTGGATTCTACTCAATGTGCTTTATCTAAATTCGACTGTTTTTAAGCTAGAAACAATTGAAAATTATAGGCTTTCTTCGAGTTCGAAAAAAGGGCGGTTCTAGACCGGTTCAAAAAACAATCGCACAGTTTATTATTGAAATTTGTGATAGCCGTGATTTTGTTGATTGATAGACTGTGCGATTGTTTAGAACTGCCCTTTTTTCGAAATTTGAACTCAAACAAAGATGATCTAGAAATTTCATATAGCTTCACAACAATAATGACGTACAATCTGTAGGCTTACATTTTTTATGGACCAATAAGGGCAGGGATTATAAAGCTGGTGAACCGAAGGTTGAGTTTCAACCAGCGGTTGATCTGAAATGTCCATATAAAATCATATGGAAATGTCAGTTCGACCGCTGGTTGAAACTCAACCTTCGTAACCATTGTAAAACTCTACCAAAATGGAAGACAATAGGTATTTAACAAGTTGAAACGGTCTTTGCTGGGGTTTAGGTAAAATAGATTACGAGAAAAGTTCAGCATTTTATTCAGATTTAGGACCGGTTTATTTTTTATTTACCTTCTGATAGACTGTCAGGTAGGCAATCTGACAGAAGAAAACGTAGTCTGTAATCCCATTGTTCGGCCAGTTATTGGCTGACCAATAGAATTATAGAATGGTGAATTTATCTTGCAGATAGTTACTAGCAAGTTTATCTGAAGATAAATAACCAGAGCCTTAGAAAAATAACTATCTATAGAATAATAATAAATATGTACAAATTATAGGAGTTATACTTTGTTTTCAACAATGTATAATGGTTTGTTTTTCTGATCGGTTTATGTAAAACTGTGAAACTATTTCATATAGCCTAGGTATACATAATTATAATGGCATTACATAAAATTAAAATTACGTGGCATTATGATGTAATTACTGGTATTACATTGGAATTACCGGAATTACTCATGTAATGCGCAATACATGTACAAATTTTGGTCCAGTTGTTACCCCCTCGGAGCCCCCTCCATCCAGTGCGGATTCTCATCTGACGAAAATCTGCAATAATGCCGACTACGTGACCATGAAGAATAAAGGGTGCTTCGTATTAAAAAACTATTTGGTTGATGAAATTAATATTGTGGTTTATTCTGGGCATCATTATTTCACAAAACTCAATTCTTCTAGCCAAATCTTCATCATTTAATTGAATATTTAAGTGAATTCTCTATTAACGAAAATGGGCTTCTCTTGTTTTGGACGTTTTCTATTTTTGACATCATCAAGCACAACGAAACCGTTTATTCCATTGGCAGCAGAAACAGGTCTTCCCTTTTTTGGTCGATCTTTGACTCCACCAGTATTAGGTATTAAATCTTCTGAAGGTTTTGGGAACCGATTTCTACTGCCACTCTTAGTTCAGTTTTATAGTTTATAAATATGCTCATTTAATGTATGTACTTACATACATGTTTGTTCATCTGAATCGAAGTAGAACCAAAAATATTTCTTGAAAACCCTTAAATTTGGACCTTCGCAACCAAAAACTTTCAGCGGACTGTATAAATTTGTTATAAAATGATAATGCATTGACCGAGACATTGACCAAACCTTGTACTGGTATCTTAGAATAATTGTAGTATTATTTGAAAGACTTCAAGGTTCTAGATATTGGAACAAATTGAAAAATGTATAAGAACGAGTTACTGGTGTGAAGTTAGCAACCAAAACTTGGCAGCCAATTTGACGGAAACACTCGAACGCCCCTTCGCGTACCATTTTTTTTTCTAAATTCAAAATAAGTCCAATAAAATCATACTTGGATATCGAGTCTAGCCATGGAATTGATAGAGTACTATTTCAACTTTTTTTTTCAACCCCTATGCAAAATCCCATTAACTTATAAGACCCTGTTGAAATATGAAAAATACGAAAATCTCAATATTTATGATTTTCATTTGTTAAGGGTAGTTCTTCATATTTCGACAGGGTTTGAGTCAATGGGATTTTGCATTGGGGTTGAAATAGAACCTTATCCATTTTATGGCTAGACTTGAAGTCCAAGTTATAAAAAATACGAAAATCTCAATATTTATGCATTTTTATTTGTTAAGGGTTGTTTTTCATATTTCGACAGGGTTTTTGTCAATTGGATTTTGCATGGGGGTTGGAAATAGTGTTAAAATAGTACCCTATGAATTTCATGGCCAGACTCGGAGTCCAAATTAGAAAAAAATACGAAAATCTCAATATTTATGCATTTTTATTTGTTAAGGTTAGTTTTTCATATTTCGACGTGATTTGAGTCAATGGGATTTTGCATTGGTGTTGGAAAAAGTGTTCAAACATTACTCTATCAATTTCATGGCTAGACTCGATGTCCAAGTAGTAGACCATCAGCTAATGACAGATTTTGCTGACTGATTTTCTGTTTTCGGGGATTTCAACCAATGAAAATTGTGTCACTGCTGAACTCAAAAAAAAAAAATGTATTTACCTTTTGCAGCAAGAAATAGGTTATATTTTTTCAATTTCTCTTTAATGTCATTTTAACACATTAACATTTTATAACAATCTAATAGTCAGAAGGTTTGCACGTACTGAAAGGGTTGAAATGAGGTCGCGATCTTGTGAAAGATTACTAAGTTGCTGATCGTTTTCTCGCATATGGCAATCGACAGGATCAAATTTGATATCGTTAGGAACCAGAAAAAAATTCTCATAAGCCGGTCAGCTGTTGAGGTATATTTTCTGGCCGTTACAAAAAGAAAATCAATTTTCCATATGCTTAGCAGACGTCCGGTCGCTAAAATTTTCATTTTTTGAGCTCAGCCCTGACATATTTTTCAGTGGTTGAAATCCCCGAAAAGAGAAAATCGTCATTAGCTGACAGTCTATATGATTTATTAGATTTTATTTTCTTTAAAAAAAAAATGGTACGCTCATGGTCGTTCGGGTGTTTTCGTCGAATTGGCTGCTAACGAGGCTGCTAACTTCAGACCGGTGACCGAGTTGACTAGTGTGAAATCTTCTAACAACTTACAACACAATGACAGGACAATGCCAATCACACACTGGTACTCAAAAATTTATTGAGTAAGGCATCTTTTATTTAATGCCAATTGAAGATACAGTTTGTGTTTTTGTTTCAGATTTGGTGGTAAACAGGAACTAGCGACTGAATTCGACTCTTGTGTAGCTGGTCTTTGTTTATGCCTTGAAGCAGTTTTTTTACATGGCTTGAAAACTAAACCTAATGTAACTCAACCTCAAACCAACTCAACATTGAAACAGGTCTCTGATATTGTTGCTCAGAGTTTACATATTCGTCAAGAGAGTATTTGTAAGTTAAAATTATTTTTAACAAGATTCTTTAAAAAGTCAGCAAAGTCATTTTATTATTCATAATATAATTTTATTAATTTCTAATCTGAATGTTGTTTTCATTTTGAAGCATTTTGGTTATTTATTGAAAAACATCTGACTAAGCATGAACGGGAAAGGTTTATAATCTTGAAAAACGTCTGGACAGATATTGGAAAGTGTAAAGCTTGGGTGAGAGCTGCTTTGAATGAAAAATCTCTAGAAAGGTGAATAGTTTACATATAATATGTATGTATATGGTCCTTATTTATAGGCTCTTTTGTTCTTCCAGGTACTTCCACATTGTATTGAGCGACAAAAATATATTGAAAAAACATTATGAAGCTTCTGCGCTTCTCCGAGATGAAGAAAGAAATAGTATGTTGCCAAACATGGCTGCAGGTAAAGCTTTCAATATCTCAATAATTCATTGTTTTAAATCATAATATTTTAGGGTTGGGATCAATCTTATTTGCAATAAGTATAGACAAACTCGAATTTAATACTTCAATTGCTCCCAGGCCCACTTTGATTGGTTATCAAGATGAACCTATTATAGAAGTACCTATTCCAGGTAAATATTTCCTCCATTATTTAAATTTATTTCAGGATGGTTCTTGGTTAACCACATACCAAAAAAAGCAATTTCCTTTTCGGTGCCATACATATAAGAAAAAAACTTGGATTTCTGATTCATATTTTTGCTATAGGAAACAGCGAACAAGTGTCTGGTGTTGGGGAATTTCACTTCAAATATTTTGGTGTCAAAACAAAAATTTGTGAATATTACTATTAACTTTTATTTTGAGATTTTTCTAAAGTAGGATATTTTTTTGTTAAAATGACTGTATTTACATGTATTTCATATGTTTACTTTTCAGATAACAAAGAAAAGAGGGACAAAACTAAAAAAAAAGTTGCAAGACAAATAATATCCTTTGATGAAGAAGATAGTATGCTCTCAACAAGTGTTCCTTCCATTTCAAGCAGTAGTACATGTTCGGATAACAGCAGTTTAGGAAATCAACATAAAGGTTTATATTTACTTTGATGATTAATTTTTTTATTTATATTTCTTAATGATTTTCAGTTTCTGATAATAATAATCGCAAATCAGTCATGGAGCAACATAGTGTTACCAATACTCAAAAAATTGATGTTGACGCAGGGTCGAGCAATAGCCGTGCTGAGAATTCTCAAATTAATACTAAAAAACAAAGTGATATAGATAATGATATTTTTAAGAACAATTCTGATAATTCCATGGTTAGAAAATTGTCAATAGAAAATAGTGGTTCTAGAAATAAGTTTTCAACAAATGTACCTGAGACTTTAACCCCTATAAATCATAATAGTATTGGAGAATTGACTCCAGTATCTGTTGAAAGGATTAGAGGTAACATAATTGTTTGTCTTTTTTTGCCAAAGCGAATTACCTTCTTTGTTTTCAGATTTTAATGATGAATCTCCAGATATCTCAGATGATGTTTTAGAAGTGCCAACAGATATTTCGGCAGTATTGACTGTGGTTGAAAATAAGAACCAAGAGGAAATCAAACGAAGGTAAAGTAATACAGAGGCGGCGCGCGTGACCCTCAAAGTAGGGAGACCAAGGAAATTCTGAGATACTTTTTTTGGCTAGTTGAACGTTTAACAGAAAAATAAGAAAAATATGGCCAAGTCGATCATGATTGATATTCATATGAGGCAACTGGTTTTGACTATCAATTTGCAGTTTTGTTTAAAAGCTTTTCTTGTGGCCTTACTGATAACTAGCTGTAGCATTGTACTTATCTCCTGGGCAGCAAGGACTTTAGATTATACTCCAAACCTTTCATATCTGTTTTTTTGCGGTCGCAACACCATGCTGTCTCTAACATTGTCCAGATGGTTGGGTATTTCAATCGATTGTCGGATCTTGTGGGTTAACCTGAGACGCACTGCTTTAAGACAATCATTGCCACCTCCTCTGTTGCGATACTAATGTTGTCCACCTTTTACTATGTGCAGGTTGGTTCTGTTTCTCTATTGAAAATGTTCAGTTCCATGGCTATATCACTATATGTCCCTACTAACAGTTGTTGTCGTAACCTATAAGGGTTTCCAGTCTTCTGACTCCTGCATAGTCTACCAATATTTCGATTTGCTCCATATGGGTTATGCCGTGTGATAGGGCATGTATACTTGTGCAACAATTCCGTTTCAGCCCTATCTGAATTTTCTACCCTCAGCTGTGTGACACTTGCAGCGTCAGTTGCTTCTGGTCCATGTGCATTCACTCATCCAATTTGTGATGTTGGTATAACTGGAACCCATTCCCTTCAGCCTGTTAATTACATTAGTAGTATCCAAGCCTAGCTTCCTGAACTAATACAATGTTTTTCTGTGCCTCAGTGATGCAAGATATTATCACTTTGCTGGGAACATTTTATTTTCCACATCTAGGAGCAATTAGAAAATTTAGGCCTGTAAATTTTTTAAAAAAATTCAATAAAAATTGTATTTTAGAGATGAAAGGATAAGGCTGTTGTCAAAAGAGAATGATGCTTTGAAGGACCAAGTAAAAAAATATGTGAGCGCCATTCAAATGTTGGGAAGAGATGAGGAAGATTTGGAGAAAGCTCTTGATGGATTGCATATCGATTCTCTACCGGATTATAAAGGAGAAGCTAAAATTTTTGAACAAAAATTAGTGCAGGTGAGTAATTTATAAATTATTGCATTTTGGTCGAGTTCTATAACGGCATCTCTGAGGTGATTATTTTTTACCCGCAAGTATATTTGAATTAAATCAATTTATAAGTGTAAGTTTTACTGAGTTTCCTCCATATCAATTAGATTTTTTATAATTTTCCATTAACCTGTTATTATCCATCTTTGGATGTAGGCCTCTCCAAATTCTTGCCAGTGAACTCTATTTCAAACCACTTGTTTCCAATGCAGACCTGCAGTTAGTTTGAGTATGACAAAGCCACTGATACATACTATCCTAAGAGTTAAATCATTAGAATAAAAAATACAATAATATTACAAATACAAATGGGGTTCCAATAATAGATCAAATCCATGAAACATTATCAGGCAACAAACAATAAAATATTCACCACAAGATAAAAAAAAACATCACCAAAAAGATAAGAACAAAAGGCCACCAAACAATAGGCCGTACCTGTAAGGAAATCCCACGCAGTTCTTCAAAATTGTGTATAGGGTAAATCTGTATTTTGTGTGCTCTGTGCCCAATAGGATCACCATTTCATAAGTTTTAAGTTTCATCTGTGATCTTTCTGTCCTGAAAGGTGTCCTGCGAAACTTTATTAGAGATGGATCTTGCTCTTATCGGAGTGTTTTTGCTGTTGTTTGAAAGTCTTATGTGATGTCGAGACCACCTAAGTTTCGTTAGTTTCTGGAATCCTTGCTCCCTTGATAGCCTCAAAGTTTAAGTGATATCACATCTCCCTGTCTGTTTATTAGATATCCTAAAAAAATTACGAATTTCGGAGATAAGGGAGCAGTTGAGAGAATTTAATCAAAATCGGATCTGTATTTTGTATCATCCAATACATTTTAGGTAGCAGAAATGCATGCAGAGCTGATGGACTTCAATGTGATGTTACAAAAGACCCTCCACCAAAAAGACAATCATTTAGAACGGTTGAAGAACGAACTTCAAGAACTTAGAGGCCCTATGGCCAAAGATGAAGTGAACTCTGACGATAACCGCTCATGTGTCAATATTTGGATACCTTCAGCTTTTTTAACAGGTAAAAGAAAGTAAATATATATTTTTTCTATGAACTATGAATTACTTATAAATATGTTGTTTTTCAAATTCCCATCAAATATATCTAAAGAAAAAAAATCAATATGTTCTATAGCGATTCTTTAGTTTTAAGTACACTTATCCTGACAAGGGTATATTTGATTTCCAGGGGAAAAATACACAAAATAGCTTTTTCGTATTTTTTCATAATCAGCTAAACAGCCCTGTTCAGTCCTTGAGGAATTAATGATTTTGTATTCAATGACTATCTGATATTATGTTCAAATTCGGGTTCATTAGCAAAATTATTCTAGAAAGTAATGAAAGAGCGTTCCTTTCAGAATATAAGGCTAATAGATGCCGAAATAGTATTTTGTTTTATTCAATCTAATGTACCTGAGGGCGAGATGAGCCTCTCACAGCAATCTCAAAAGCTTTAATTGATAAAATTTACTGGAAGAGGATGTTCTTATGGCCGTTTCCACCAACTATTTTAGGGGAGCCTTAACGATAAGTATTCCCTAAAATGACATTTTCACATAGGGAAATGTCAGTTTAAGGAATACTTATCGTTAAGGCTCCCTTAAAATAGTTGGTGGAAACGGCCATTAGACGCACAAAATTCACAAAAAAAAATAATCTAGTGCAGCAGAATATTTTTGAGTTTCAAGGAAAATATGACATTTGAAAAGGACAGGCTTCAACTGAACAATTATCAGAAATATTAAATTTGTTCATAAAATAAGTATTAATAGAATAATACAAAAAAATATACAAATCAGTTTACCAAGAAATAATTAGTCTTCATAATCAAATGTTAATAATTTTATGGTTTTGTGGGTTGCAGCATCTTTTCTATATTGTACTTATATATTTTTCAGGGTCAGGAACTAATTCTCATCATGTATACCAAGTGTTTCTCAGGGCAGGAAATGAGGAATGGAATATTTATAGAAGATACGCCCAGTTTTATGCTTTACATTCCGACTTAAAAAAGTTAGATCCTGTGGTTGGAACTTTCAATTTTCCACCAAAAAAAAGTATTGGCAAAAAGGTGTGTATATTGTTTTATTTTAAATATATTTTTTCAAATTACAATTTTTTTTTTCACAGGATTCAGCTTTAGTGGAAGAACGAAGAAAACGACTACAAATTTACCTTAGAAAAGTAGTAGCTCATTGGCCTGAGTTAGCTCAATGTACTAGTAGGTTCTTGTTGGAGCAGCATTTGAATTTCTTCAAGTAAGTTAAGATGTTTTGCTATTTCTATTATGTTCTTACTCAAAATGTGTTGTTCTAAAGACAAAGGTAAATGGAAATAATTAGACTTTCTCCGAGTATCCCTAAATCGGTATTTGCTTGAATATCAAAATCACAAAAAGTGCCCTTAAAAATCAGCTTTTATTATTTTTCTTGAAATAAATAGTTTGACAGATGGCTATTAGGGTCCTTCTTACCATGGTTCCAAAATTGGTACGGGTTTGGGAGTTGAAAATATCAAAAGAAACATTTTTCACCCCCAAACCTTAATCAAGTTTAGGAAAAAATATAGGACTCCAGTAATCACCTGTCAAACGATGAGTAGGAGATCCTATCTTGGGAAAAAAAGGGAATTTGAAGTTAATTTTTTTGATATCTTCAACCCCTATCACTTTGGAAACCAATTTAAGGAAATGTTAAGAAGGACACTAGTAATCACCTGGCAAACGACAAATCGATAACTCTTTCCAAAATCATGAGAAAAAAAATAAAAATGCCATTTTTAGTTGTTTTTTTTTTATATTTTTAACCTCCAAACCCATATCGATTTTGGAATCAATTTAAAAGTATGTCAAGAAGGACTTGGATAGTCATATTTTTGTCAAATAATGACTTGATAACCCTATCAAACATTTCGAAAAAGAAAATAAAATTAAAAACATATTTTTAAGGGCATTTAGGGGTAGTCGGCGAAAGTCTACCGACCCATTATTAGCAAACTGTTTTCAGTAATAGATATTTTTTTTAGAGATTGTAACGAAGAGGAAGCCAAAAAAAATATGTTTACTGCAAGAAGAACAGGCAGTTCCAATAATTATTCTGGGTTATAAAATTAAGCTTGTGATATGTATGATATGTTATTATTATTATAGGAATCAATAATTGCGGTAAAATATCGCAAAGTGTTACCTGTAGAAGAATTATTATTGTTGGCTGTTGTTAGGAATTTATTTGGGTCTGGTTACGTAAATCAATTTAAATGGCCCTAGCCTAGCTGCTAATTAATTTAGCCATTTTATAATATAGTACATATATTTTTTGATAGTTGATAGAGCAACATTACTATTTTTTAGCTATCAACTGTTAAAAAACAGGCTCAACGAATTTAGGAAGTTAATCAGATGAGATAATATAATTTATTATTTATTTTGACTATGTATGTATTAAGTTTAATGTGCAATACTGCTTATTATAAGAAGGGTTTCTTTCTCGTAGTTTACATATTGTATATTCAGAAGGAGAAGATACACATTTTCTACGGACTGTGTCAAATAGTGAGGAGCCAGCGTGCCGCTTGATAATGGATTCCTCCTCCAAATTCGACATATTATTTTTTTTCTACGATCACAAATGAATAAACATAATGAAAAAGGCAAAATAAGGATCATTAAGATTTATCGCCAACAGTTGTTTCTTTTTGACGAGCAAAGCAACAAGAAGAGTAATTTTTCTATCTGTTTCCTCCAGCGTTTGTGTAATGAGTAATTGAAGTAGCAACCCTTTTTTGATCTGAGTTGTATTTCCCAAATTTCAAAATAATCTGTAATCCTAAAAATTATGGTTTTTCAGTGTTGAAAGGTTTTCCACATTTGACATTTCATGTAAATGGGATCCTTTTTTGACTTACAAGACCCTACTATAGTGAAGATTTTAATTAGAAGACCTTTCATAAAGCATTTTAATTTTCATTTCTATTACTTGTTCGTTATTTTATTTTATTTTTGCATTAAAATAATACATAAACAATGTGAAGTAAGGTTTGCAACAAGCTGGATTTTTTTTCAAATTATCAGAATTTTCTATACAAAACCCAAAAATAATCTATAAGACCATTTGATGCAAACTGTACTTCTCACATAGACCATAGTTGATATAATAATAAAAAATGAGAAAAAAAAAACAACATATTTATATGCAATGCAACATTCTACTTGATTTGACCATTACATTTTTATTCCACATGTTATGTTTTAAGAGGCCATATTCAAACAACTGATAATAACACTTTTTTGCATAAGTACATAATAATATATTCTATATAGGCACACATGAGAATAATTTTGAAAAATGGGAACAGTGTTCAAGTAACCACCGCAACTGTCATTCTGGTTATTATCAAGAATCTATTTAGGTAGGCATTGGAAATTAGAATATCCTTGTTGACCGATTTTCTCCTTGCAACAACAGATTTTAAATTTTCACAATAACATAAAATTTAACCAAACTAAGCAAAATATAATTGAATTATAAAACATCTAAAGATCTTCTAAACTTTAAAATGAAACGCGAATGCAAAACGCGCCTAACATATTATACAATAATAATTTGTTCCAATTGCACAAAAGGTAACTATCATTTGTTTGTAAAATGGTCCTATGCATACGTATTACCTATGTATTTATAATTTATATTAACTTTCAACCAAATTATGTTACAAAATAAATATTTTTTTATAGAACTGTCTACTTTGTTTTGTTATTCCTTTTTTACCCAAAAATTTCAACTGCTAGGCATCCTAACCTCTTCTATCATTTTGTATAGAATGTTTCTAATTTTGAAGGAAAAATATTTTTACTCAAAAATGTTGCATGAAACTCATTGGGTAGACAAAAGAGTCGCATTTCAAATTTGACGGTAAAAGCCTTCCAACAATGCTGGTGCATTCTGATTGGTAAATTATCAATGTATGCTAATTATGGGCCACTGTTGCAAAGTAAACTAAAAACTGTTTTTCAAGGTTCAACTTCCTTATTTTAGATGGGTCGATATATTTTTGCTTAGTGCGAAAGAAAATGACAATCCGAATAATGTAACGCCCCGTTTTTGAGTCTATTTAATTCGTCAATTTTCAATCTAAGGTTGCGATGAGGTCAATAAAACGGAAAATTTTGGATCAAGTGGTGGAGAAAAAAAAGCATGTGATTCTCGCCCCAACCTAGGGGTTAAAATCACTTAAAAGAAAAAGTTTATCGGATCTAGGTACACATGATATGGAAATTCCTATTTTTGATTTTCGTCAGTTGTGAGGGTTGGAGCGTAGGTTGTTGATAGCTTCTGAGGTTTTGCCGCAGTGTCATCATTCTTTCGCACATTCCGGATGAAAGCTCAGCAAGACGGGCAAGATGGCCCATAAGTTCATTTTTTGTGACGAAACGCACTCCGTGGATGCGAGGTTAATTCTCATTTTTTCCTTTCCAGAAAAACGTTCAGCCTCTTCCGTGTTCCTTAAGTTTGCCTGCTCTTCTGGTTTTGCTTAGAGCTGCAATATCAATGTCAAATCTCTTTAATAATTCCCGTGCCACCATTGCCGTTCTTCGTTTTGGTGTTGCTGGTATCCATAACCACGTGGCCAGATTGAGTTTGTTTTCCTTTGTTTTGTTTCGACCGCATGGGGTGCACCCTCTGGACACGGTTATCCAGTTGGGCAGTTGTTGGCTGGCTATGTTTAGGGCACCTTTTATAGCCGGATCCTAAATAGAGCTGCTCAGTCGAGGATGCAGCACACGAATTGGTCCACAGCCGATCCTCGAGCAAAACGGCGATCACTCTATCCGCCGTCTCTGTGCCGGTTTGTCACTGAGAGCTTCCAGACTACACTGTTCCCGTCCCAGCTTGCTGATCGCCGAAGGTCTCAGGTGTGCTTTGGACTTTGATGGTCTTATGTGTCCTAGAATAGAAGATGCCTCCTCTGCGTGACTTCCATTAACGTGGATAATATGCTGATGCACAGTCAGCAGACACGGTCCCCAAGCTCGAGTTCCCACCCAATGGCATAGAAACTAAGACGATTGGGTTCCTTGAGCTCAGGGCTGGCTGATTGCACGATCATTATATCATCATTATTATTGAAGTCGAAATCGTGGTCGATGGGGTCGCCACAGGATGAAAACGGAAAATGTTTGATCAAGAGTTCACTGCAAATAGGTTTTTGTTGTCGATTTTTTATTCCTTTCAAAGATATGAGGCCCTTTGTGTACAACAATATTTTGTCGTATATTTTCAAAACTACTTACTTATTTTAGGAAAATAGTATAAATTTGAAAATTCTTTAGGTTCATCTGCTCTACAAGGACCTGATGCGTTGATATCTGTCGAAAAAACGATGGGCTGATTTGCCGAAGTCATGGGTAAAGGCTTTTACCAATTTTTTATGAAAGAAATCTTTTAAATCAATGTCTTCTTTTACAACGTTGAATAAGTCCGAATCATTATTCATAATTAATTTCCCAGAGGCTTTTTGGTAGGTATCTATCTAATGGCGATTTCCATTTGTCATCAGTGCCGCACTGAGTGTATCCGCATCTTTTTCTAAAAGCATGTAACATGTAAGGATAAGGATACTTTTTTTTTGCCCTGATTCGACAAATGGAAAACGCTATAAAAAAAACTGGAAAAAATATTTTATCATTGCTTGCGGGGAAACTGCGCTATTTTCTTCGTCCATAGCCCCGACATCTTCAGTACCTACCTTTCTCAATATTGTGGTCAAGGTCTCGGTTAGAGTTAATGTCAAGATTCAAGCCATCTTTTCCTTATACATACTAACATTCCTAGGCTTTAAGCATCTACATAAGCTTCTTCTAACACTTCGGCAATAATCGATGTGATATTCACTTCCATCAATTCATTTTTTGATACTTGTTAGGTACTTTGCTCTCTTGGAAAAATAAAAAAATCTTTGAGGTCATTAGTAGAATTCAGTGGTGTGTCTCTCTCGATTTTTTATTTGATTTCTTTTATAGTAAAGTTAATCACCGTTGAAAATGTAGATGTTAGTGATCTAGCAAAACGGAATTCCTCGCATGACTGACTGTCGAATAGACTGGGACAAAACAGTAGGTATGTTATTAATTTTTCATCTGATTGAAACACCTTGATCAGTTTAATAAAACTATGGGCAATAATCCCAACGGATTCTCACTAAAAGCACCTCATCCAGCTTTAAAGCTTTTATGAACGCAAGTAAAGCTGGATGGTTCTATGGATGGAATTTCTTCCCGTCCAACGGTGCAGCATCGGAAGCAGGCAATTCGTTTGTTCATGATCGCCTCGTTCTAGAGTTGTTTTTCTTTCCTCACAGAACCGGCAGCTGTCTTCGTTTTCGATTTTAATTCTATCAAGGTGCCCTCTTAACCGACAGTGGACTGTTAGGAATCCAGTGAGAATGCGAATATTGTGTTTACTCAGTGATATAACGTCTTTTGATCTCCCTTGGTGAGGGGGCCCAAGAAACATGTTTGATTGCCTTAACACTGGAAGCGGTTCCCCAGAGGCTGATCCATTTGGTCCGCGCTTCCTTATAGGTGTGCGTCCCTGCTATGCCACAGGAAAGCAGAACTTATGTCCCCTCCCAATTTCGCCAAATGGTTCGCCTTCTCATTACCTGCGATCCCTGCGTGACCGTTATCCACTGAAGGGATAGTTTGTTATTTTTGCCCAGTTTGTAACTTGTCCAGGCATTCCCAAACCATTCTGGAGCTGATTATTAGTGATTTTTCGATGGTTGCTTAACTGTCTAAGAATATGACAATCTCTCTCTTTTTCCAGTTTCTGATGTCAATATTGAACTCAGCACATCTACTTATAGTGTTTATTTCCGCCTGAAATATGTCTGGGTGTTTGCCCATTTCACGGCTTTCTACTTCGTTGTAAGAATGGATATGGTGTTTCCTTTCCATTCTTCTCTGCTTCTTATGACTATCTGTGAAGAAGCGTTTCTCAAAATTATATGTTTTGATCATATCATCGCTGGGCAGCTCGAGGAGAGGAATAAGCTTGCTTAGAGATGCTGATTCTCTCCTTCCAAGCCAACCTTCCTCGCCAGCCCCCTCTCTCGTGATTCTAGTCATTGGGTCATTGCTTGCCTAGCGGCCCCCTCCACCACGATGTTAAGAGGTGCGAGACCTACAATTGTCTCGATAGCTGCTGTAGGGCAAGTTTTTATTGCGCCCTTGATGCATGTGCACCATTCGCTGTAGCTTGTTGAGAGCTGCTTTTATGTTCTGCGTTCTGCTTCTCAACTTCATTGAACCATATTATCGATCCATATAGTAGGGTTGGTCTTACTATCATGGTGTACTCCCATCTTAAGTGCCCTGGTCTGCATCTCCAGGTTTTGCCTACAAGGATTAAGCACACCATGAGAGCCCTTGTAGCCTTTGTTGCAAATCCCTCAATGTGTTTGCTCCATCTGAGTTAGCAGTCCAGCGTTCATATTCCTTTTTGAGGTTAGGTCATGAGTGACACGAATAAAAATTTAGATATTATAAATTGTAAATATTGCAATAAAAAAGTGGTTGAGTCAATTGATTGTGATAATTGCAAAGTCAGTTATCACCCTAGCTGTGCGGGACGAGTGGAACTCCCGAATAATCCCGGGTAATACAAGTGTTGCTTCATGGACAATAAGAGTGAGGTTAAATCTTCAAAAACAAAGGAAAAATCTGAAAAATCCTCTGAAATATCTGCGAAAACCTTGGAAATGGATATAAAGAAAATTAAATCAATAATTGCGGAGTCTTTTCAGCTCTACTCAAACCCCGTGGAGCAGAAGTTGAACAAAAAGTTTGAGGACCTAGAAAAGGCAGTTCAGTTCATGTCGAACTCCTTCGATGAACAGAAGGTCAAATTTGACAGCATTCTGGACGAGGTTAAAGGCCTCAGAAAGGAAAATGTGGACCTAAGGCTAAGAATTCAGGCAGTGGAGTCTAAGTTGGAGGCTATGGAGGTGAAAGATAAGGCTAGCAATATTATTATTGCTGGAGTGCCAAAACAACCAAATCATGATCCCAGGAAAATTGCTGAGAAAATACTGGAAGGATTACAACTTCAGACAAATAATAAGGAGATTGTAGAATGCTTCAAATTAAATAAAAATGATGATGAAGGTCCAATCTTCGTTAAATTCAGCAATGAACATGTCAAAGTTGAGGTCTTGAAGAAAATTCGTATATTAAAAGGAATTGATACTAACAAATGTGGTTTACGAGGTGATAACAAAAAAATTTACCTTAACGAAGATTTACCAGTAAGCAAAAGAACTCTTTTTAAAAAAGTCAGAGATGCAAGGAAGAGCAAGGGGTATAAAGCAGCATTTTGTGTGAATGGAGTTATTTACCTTAAAAAAAATGATCATGACCCTGCCATAAAAATTAGACACGAAAGTGATATTGAGTCCATATAACTTCTAAGTTATGACTCCTATAATATAATTTAAAAAAAGTCAGTATTTAAATTCAATGAGTTATTAGATATTATTGAGAATTATAAGTCCTGTGATAATCTATCAAATGTACAAATTTTTGAGAACAACAACATAAACTTCAGCAGAATGCCAAATATTTCTATTATAAAGAACAAGCTCAAAAATACGCAAAAGATCCAAAAAAACTATGGGGGGTGATAAGGGAGGCTACAGGTGATAAAGGTTGTCAGGCTGAAATAAAAAAATATAGTTAACTCTA